TATGGCTTCTCAACTTTCACCATTGTGTAGTATATTCTTGTGATATCATATATTTTTTCGATACCTGGTGATGGCTCCAAGTCCACGAAAAACAATGGTAGTGGGATCCTATTTCGTAATCCTGGCTGCTCCCTGTCCTCCTTCAAAACGTTTGTTACCTGGCGTACATTGAAACCAAGCGTCGTTAGTTCTTCTTTAATAACTTCAGTGGGGGTTGAGGAATGTAAATTTCTTATCACTACTCGTAAAGCTCTTTCCTGCCTCAGCTGGTAAGTGTGAAAATTCGCATTTGTTTCTGATAAGTACTTCACTATTTTTCGGTAGGCTTCTGCAGAATCAGGTGTTATTTTGGTGTCATTGGTCCTGTTAAGGCATGAATAACTGCCAGAGCAGATTTCATTTAGTTGGGTGCAGAACATCTGGAAATTTTTTATATTTTTCACAAATATCGGAGGAGGCTTTGGTTCTCTGGGTATTGCTGCAGACTCCATTACTTCTCTGTCATTTTGAAGCACTTGGTAGGGGTTTGGAGTAAAGAAAGGTGATTCTTCAATCGTTTCTTGTGCAGACGTACCTGGTTGGGGCTGAGGTTCTGGTTCTGAAGTGTTCATTTTGGTCACTGGAGGTATTTCTCGTAGGCAGCGACGAGTCCTTTGTTTGGCTGGTGAGCTAACTCCGTCTGACCGAGACCTCTTGGGCACCTTACTGGCCATCACTTGCTGATCATACCGCATATCATAAGAGAAAAACAAATAAATAAATAAAAAAAAAAAAAATTTTTTTTTTTTTTTTTTTTCTTAAAATAACAAAAAAAAAAAAAAGATGCCAACAGTAAATATCAACTGCTCTGATATACACTTTAACTGTATCACGTGAATAATCAGAGAGATTCCGCTATAAAATTGGTAAAAACTGAGAGAGGAGTTGAGGAGACAACCTTCTCATCAGCTGATCCACTGCCTTCTCGAATTAATAATATGATTTTTTTTAGTTGTATATATTCATATCGTTGTGATTTTCTTCATCTTAGATGTAACAGAAACTATTTAAATATTTAGTTAAAGAATAACAGAAACTTTTAAAACAATTATACATTCTTGTACAATGAGACGATAACTTGCGTTTAAGACAATTATATAGTATTGGTACTTGTCCGTGGTGGTATTTTGTCAAATTATTAACATCCGCCAGAAACTTCATAAATAGCTTCATCTCATCATAATCTACAACTATTTTATTTACGAAAATGTTCAGAATCGGGATGTTTTCAATCTGCAGATTGAACTCATAAATGCCCATTGGTTTTCCACTTGAATCGTAAGATAAGTACAAAATTGAGGGAAAATGTGGCCTTTAAAAAGATTGAGAAAAAACAACACGGTTATGTAGGCCAAACTGCTCAATATTTTTGAAGGCCACTTTTTTTATCGATTTTGTGATAACATTATCTTACGATCCAAGTAGAAAGTAAATGGGTATTTACGAGTTTTTATTACCTATTTAAATAGACAAAGTTTGTCCCCCTCCAGATTGAAAACGCCCCAATTCCAAGAGTTTTCGTAAATAAAATAGTTGTAGATTACGATGAGATGAAACTATTAACATAGTTAATAATTGGATAAAAAGGGGTCTGTACCACGGACTATTTCTAATATTGTCCTAAACAATCTTCTTGACTACACACTACCTCTCTTCTCTAATAACATCTTCTACATTAAAAATACGTAGACGACCTAATATTAATCCTTAATCCAAATGCGATTCCAGACATACTTAATGCTTTCAATTCGTATCATCCACGAATTTATTCACTGTTGACAGAGATAAAAAAATAATTCACTTCCCTTCCTTGATCTCCTTATTACCAGAAACCCTGATCACTCTATTTCGAATAATTGGTAAACTAAACTCACATATTCTGGCCGCCTCCTAAATTATGTTTTTGAACACTCTTACCACCAAAAAATTAACGTAGCCAAAACCTCATAAACCGCAGTTTGACATTATCTGATCCCCAATTTCATAATCATAACCCCTTTTACACCAGATCTTAAAATCTAGTGATTTTCCAGACAATCTGATCAAATCTTTAATTGACATTTCCCCTATATCCTACTCTTCTCAAACTAACTCCTCAAAACCTCATCCAACACCTTTGTAATACAGACCTATTCCATACATCCCTACTAGAGATGTAAAATTCGATTCTTTAAACTGAATCGATTCACAACGATTCAGTCATTGTAATGAATCGATCCTTATCTGCGATCCTTGAATTGCTTCTTTTCATCTTAAAAGAGAACTTTTTATTGAGAAAAAAAAACAGTAACAAACATTCTCAAACCTTATGGTTATTCCGGCAAAAACATTTTTTTTTTTTTAACTTTTTGAAGTTAAAAGTTCAAAATATATACAAATAAAAACTCATGAAACTTATAAATAGGGCGGAAGTATAAGTTGGACAAAAAGTTTTTTTTTTCTTAATTTTACACATTAGATGTTGGTCTGTGTATATAAATTATAAATGAAATGAAATAAAATAAAATGAAATATAATTTTATTATGCTGGGACTGATAACCAAATCATAAATACAAAATAAATAAAACATGACAATATTGTCGTACATTAAATTAAACATTTATATAATATTAGGTAATTAAAAATAAAATACAAGAGAGAAAAATGTGTACATATATATAAATAAAACAAACAGAGACAAAAAATAAACAAAATAGTAATGTAAATAAGCCTAGGTTATAACTGTTGGAATACGAAATTCTGGTGAAAGAGTAGATTCCGAAATTAAGCATAACAATCCAACACACAATAGAAGATGGCTTGCAGATTTCCTTTGTCCTGAAGTGGCGCTTCTCCTTTAACTCCTATAACTCGACAATCAATCATCCTAGAGACTCGAATTTAGTCTCAAATTGTTCGTATGGTAATGATGAGAAAATTGAGCGCGGAGATGTATAGATGATTCTAATAAATATATTTCCTCATTTATTTTTCTTATTTGATATGATAGATCTAAATGTTTCTAATGAACTATCCTTAATTTTTCACGTGAAATTCAAATTTTAAAACTTTGTGCTAATGCGTGGTGCGTAATACAGTGGCTTAATAATGTTAAGCGTATTATTAAGCCACTGTAGTGCGTAAATAGGAGGAATCGTCATCAACTTTATTTTCCCTAATCATGATCCTCATATTTATTTCATATTCACAGTCCAAATCGAATTTTATGAACAATAAACACCTCACTCGAGTTATAATGTTGCACCTAATGCGCACTAGAAATGTGCAATTTGTGTAAAAAGCAATATTTTCCTTTATCTTAAATATAGGAAGTGACGCATGATTTGTATGTAGTTTTTTATGCTGAATCATGCTGTGATATTAATTTTTTTTTCAAGAAACCGCATCGGTTAAAATAATCAATGTCAAAACAAAAAAAGAACAGGCTAATATGAAAAAAATATATATATATACATTTTTACTTTCTTACCTATACTAGGTAAGGAAAGTATTGCAATCGGGTCAAATTTCCGATGTGTGGTTTTCGACGGATCTGTACGTTTCAGAGCCCCCTGAGTCCGAAAAACACATTTTTAGCCATTGGTCTGTCTGTCTGTGCCAAGATTTTTTCGGAAACTACACAACCGATTTTGGTGCTTCTTTTTTTATTTTGTAGGGTTTTGAATACTGATGCCTGTGACAGAAATTCGGTGCTCCATGCGCAATAGCTTGGGCGCAATAAAAGAAAAACATGTTTTTCTATAGACTGTAGCGCATAAACGGCTCTAACGATTTTGATGAAACTTTCCTATAATGTTCTAATCATTGTTCTTCCAATTTTCGTATATAGACTAAATTCCCGAAAAAATTCAGGAAAACAAGTTATAAAGAAAAAAAAAAATGTTAGGGGGCCTAACTCCCTAAGTATCTATTATACGGTAAAATTTATAATATAACTTTTGAAAGGTAATTAAATTACCAACAAAACAAAAAAAATAATCATCGGAATCGAATCAGTATTAGCGATGAAAGCTAATGAAATTCCCTACAAAACTATATAAAAATCGTTCATTTTGGACAACTAATAACGAAGTTCAATTGCCGATGTAAGATTACGGGTACATATCCTGTTGTCAGAATGGGGTGAATGAAAGAAAAAAGATAACTATGTGAAAGTAAGAAAATCTGATTCCCGCATCATACAAGCTTCACTATTTTCTCTACTTTTAACAGACATTATTGTTTGACAATACTAAGCTATGGCAATATGTTTTTGATCAGTAATATTAGAGGGTATTGAAATTTTTACATTGATCTACCTTAAGCCGGTTTACATTGCTTTAGTTTATTAAATAAATCGTACTCGATCTTATGTTTGATCAATTTTCAGGAAAATGTATCTAGTTCAATTATTTTTTGTTTCTTCATGAACATATGTAAAGATATAAAAACTTTTCTGAAATTGAAAGGAAAGTCATGTGAGTGGACACTCCAGCATTTTTATATTTTATATGCAATTTTAATTTTGCCATAAGTTTTCTTAATTACGAATATTCGAATTGAAAATACAAATTTATATAAATAAAAAATGAACATATCAGCATGTAATGTTTCGGAATTAATTTTATCATTTGTTTTCGCATATTAATTCTTGACACTTACGAAAACATCAGTATCACAGCTCAGAACTAGAATTTCTGATATTCTACATTTCACATCAGATGATTACAATTTTTATTCGGTCTATTTTTTTTCTTCAGAATTACAGCTCGTAAGATTTCTGTGCGAATCATTCATTTCAATGAAATGAGTATCATCGAGTTCAAAACATTTTTCTGGATCTAGAAATCAACTAAATATATAAAGCTCTCCATCTACTGTTCTTACAAGTTTCGATACATTTTCAAGTATTGAGCAGAGAAGTCTTTCAAGCTGTAATTTTGGAGAAAAAAAAATGTATACTGATTTAAAACTTAATCATATGGAAGCTGATTCGAGAATTCTATCATATTGCCATGCTGTGAAATGCAGAGCATCAGAAATACTCATTCTGAATCCTGATACTGATGTTTTCGTACTAGGAATTTACTTTTGGAGCTAGCTTTCAAAAATGGGTTATCTAGGCTTATGGTTCCAAGGCAACAAAAAAAAAAGTTCAGATTTTTCGCGTGTCCTTTTGTAGCAAAATCTCTTGGATCTAATATAAGTACCATTCTGCCAGCGTTACATGCTTTAACGGGTTGTGGTACTTTCAATGGTATAGGTTTGAAAAAGCAGGCATTATCTATTGCACCGTTGAACTTCGTCCAATAATCACAATAAATAATGGGAAATGGCATTTCGAGTGTACAACAGTTTCTAGATATTGGAGAAATTTGTACATATCTAGTTTCAAAACAAAAAACGAATGCTGATAACGGACGCTTCAAATATTTTTCGGATAACATTGGATTCAGCGTGAATTTATCAAAAAATCAGATGCACTGTATTTGAATGCACTGAATGCCGTTTTCAGAAATTCAGTAATCCCTCAAAATATATATTTAGTTTAACAGAAAATACTAAAATGCTAAAGAATTCCGCATTTACAGATTGCATATTTGATGAGTCGCAATTAAAAAAAATAATTCCAGGGCATAATGTATATGTATATCGGTACTGTTAGTGCAAATGGTCGTATTTAAAAATTGAATGTTTTACAGGAGAACATAAAAACTAATTATTTCTTTATGATTTATTAGTATAATTTTATATTTTATTGCCCTCTGCTATTTTACATAGTAATAAACTACTTTTATCAATTGCAGACTACATAATTTCAAAAATAGAATAAATATTGAAAATTTTACATACAACCTTTTGCTATAAACTAACAGTAGTGATATATACTTAATAGGTATGTTTTCACTCGTAAAATGGTTGAAACAAAAAATCCATAGGAAAAATTAAAATTTTTGCATATTTTAAGCAATAAAACTTCCAATTTTCTTCATATTTTTTATTTGTGCTTGTTGTCGCTTACGTTTCGGGACAATTTTCCCATCATCAAAGCAATATTTTTATTTTTACATTCATTTTTTTGATGTGGCACCATTTGTCAAAAATTAATTATTTGTCACATTTTTTAAAAATTATTTGGTGTTACACATATTCACTGATACACTAATCAAACAAAATTTTTGTTTGTTCGGAGTTAAGTGATGTTGTTAAAAATTATTTATATTAACTTTAATTATTAAATGGAATTCAATTAAATTAATACTAGGAAATTTCTGTACTATTCTCCAAATTTCCTCAAGTTTGGATCAAATCGAACGAACCGTTTTCATACTATAGGCGTGTCAAATAATACATTTTCTGATCTGAAGGTGGAAGAATTTTTTTTTTGTTTGGAAGTATTTGATAAAATTGATATATATACTTGATTATCTGTTTAGCAATCCCTAACTTTACTCCAAATTTGAGTACGCGGTTTTAGAGTTATAGACGTATCAAGGAAAATATATAAGAGAAAGTAGAGTACAGAATTGAATAAAACTGATACTACATTATTTTTTTATTAGTACCTACCTTTTTTTCAACTTTGAGCCAAATTGAACCCATTGGCATTGAACCCCAAATTGAACCCGTGCGCAAGCGGAAGTGCTGTTTGGAATTTGATAAAATTGATATCAGACCTTCTAGACGTCAACCTGCACAAACTCTGAAAATATCATGAAAATCGGAAAACGGTAGTAGGTGATATGCCCGTTACATCGATTTGGCTACAGACAAATTTGATCCTTGATGTCTGAAATGCAAAACGCGAGTGAAAATTTTCGATCATCATCATTATCATATTCCTGATGCCAATACCGCAGTGTGGCTATATCTTGTAGAGCTTGGACCAGGTTTCCCTTTCTTGAACCAACTCTCGATATTTCGATTCTAAGCAAAAAATTATTTTTAACCTCTCGCACGAATACATAGCTTCCCTATCTTCGGTAATGAGGAAGCTATAATGAGGAAAAACCTGATAGATTTATAATAAACGGAAAAAGGTTTATCAGTTTTCAAACTAGTTTTTCTCAATGTTGATGTTACACCAGTTACAACCTTGTCAAATGAAGCGATATATCAATTTTCGTCTCTTAAATGAATAGAGTTTTTTGCGTAGTTGGCGGTTTTTAAAAATAAATATTATTTTTATTCTCTACGTTTATCAAATCGTTAATAAACCAAAGATTGAAAATAGGTCACTTAGATTATGGTTTATCGCCAGTATCATCTGAGCGATCAGAATGGAAATTTCCCAATTCAATAACGAAAATGGCTTTCATTCCCGGAGAACCCCAGCTGAAAGATAATTTCAGAAAGAATTTATTTACAGATTAAGGTAGAAATTTAGGCCTTAGTGGTCCTAAATTAATAAGGTTATCCAGTCACTTCGGTCATCTTCAGAGGTACAATCTGATTTTAAAATATTTTGTCAATTTTCATCTATAAAACATATTAAAAAATCTCTCAAAGGATTAACTGGTAGATCTTAAGTCCATTGGTATACATTAATGAAACGAAATTTTTGAATTGGAGGTGCAGAAAGAAATATAACAGTATCTATATGGAAGGTGAACATACATTATTTAGGTGTTCATTTTTTTAGGTCTAGTTTGTTTTTGCAAGCGGTTATGAGAGAATCTCAACATAGACCTCTTAACAAAGGTCAACATAAATTTGATAAAAATACATATTCACTTTGTAAATCCTCCCCCAGACTTTTTAATAAGCTTCAAAACCGGTTCATATTGATTTAAGTGCCCCTTGAATTGGTTGGTTAGGCTTGTGGAAATAGAGGAATAGACACCCTAAAATATGTCTCGTAAAGCTAAGAAATAAATATTACCAATCTAATCCTGCTCTGTTGAAGTATAATTGGTGTGCTCAGCTAAAAATATTATTAGATACTATTGGGGAAGGCGATCTGGTTTATGAAACCAACTCAGCTATAATTAAAGCTAATAGTGACAGAATATTAAATAAATATAAAAGACATTTGCAAGAGGGTGAAAAGAAAACATTATATAGCTCAGCTCAAAGTGAACATTTGAACTTTTTTTTTTTAACAATGATCAGATCTCTCAGTATTTGTTGATGCCAGCTAATTTCCAATATACTATTAATACAGATTCGCTTCTCAGGAAAATACATGTTCAAGATTTCAATTAACAATAAAAATCATTCCATAACTTGAGTGCAAAATGTGCAACAATATGGGAACACAGACACTTCAAATATTGCCTTATGAAAATTATAATAAAATGTAGCTATGATGTCAGCATGTAATCAGTTCAGGTCTTGCTTGCTTGCTTTTTTTTTTTTGTTTATGCGAGTAATCTTTATAGATTACTTTATCTTTATAGCGAAATGAGGCGCTTCACTTAGTCTGCTAAAAGTAATTGAAAATAATAACCAATTAGTAAACGTACGGCTCTCTGTAATAAATTATTTATTCATGTTTTAAGAACTATATTTAAAATATGAATAATTAAAATGGTCAGGATGTGCAGTCGAAAAATCATGTCTATTATATTATATATTATATTTAATTATGTTTATTTATAAACATGAACATGATTTTTTAACTGCACAACCTAACCACTTTTAATCATCACAAGTTCAACAGTTAATATATATATTTATATAAGATATTTGTGTATATATATATATATCTTTACAACTTTTATTATTATAATATAGATAATATAATATATTTTTTAAAAGGTTTTATGCCTCAAATTAATCGGTGAGATCTTCAAAGTATTTTGAAAGAATTTGAGCTAAAGAATGAGCTTAAAAAGTTTGGTAAATCGATTTGCTCAAAGGTACGTAACAATTTGTTGAGGAAACTGCTGGATTGATTTTTAAGTTTGATGTCTTGAATTATTCGGTGGATTCCCTGAGTGTTTTGAAAGTGAACTGACACGAGGGTTATGTATTTGGGTTGTCCACTAAAAGTTAGGTAACCATTTTTTTCCATGAGAAAAAAAATCAAAGGGAGATGGGTGTCTTGGCTCTGATTTCTACAACAATTTTTCAATATTTATAAAAAAAAAAAAAAGCATACATTTTGAGTTATTTGAAAATTTTCTTTTCTTTCATAACTTTTTTGCCAAAAATTTCAGGGGATATGGAGCTATTTTTCGCATGTGAAGGAGAAGAATATCTCCAAAATGAATGGTCAATCATTGTATTTGATGAAGAATTGACAAGTTTTGACGACCTACCAACAAAAAAAAACACCTTTTAGAATATAGCCCGAAAGCTTTTTTTTTTTCATAAAAATAATGATAATTACTTTGGAAAAAAAGAAGGAAACTAACTACCTATATGAAATGGTGTGTAAGTGATTCTTAAAGTCCTTTTAAATGTAATTACACAACCAATAATATTTTAAGAGATAATTTTTTAATATTTTTTTTCCATAAAACATGGTTATATTTTACCAGTTTTGGGGGAGGGGGAAATCCAGCCCCTCTTTGAAAAACTTTGAATAATAATTTGAAGGATCGAAAATGTTAAAAAATTAATTAAACTTCAAAAAGGTATCGTCTACTATGAACAACATCAATTTTGTGGTTAAAAGCAATTTTTTCTTAAAGTGGAAATACAGTAAATATAATCTCATAAATATCTCCGTAACCATTGATTTTTTCTAAAAAATGTATAGAACCATTTTTATAGAGATTTTAAAGTTATTTAAAATTATACTGATAATCTTAGCGAAAAACCTAACAGTTTTTGAGATAATCTTAAAAAAATATCATTTTTCTGTCATTCCTGCCTTCCACCCATCCAAAGCTGGCGCGGGATTCTTTCAGACTTTTTAGCAGTTATCATAGATAGTGTAATGAACAATTTCTGACAAGTTTCATATTTATTTTTTGAATGTTGGGGTAAGGCTGTTTTTTTCTCTAACTTTACTGGACTAAATATGCGATGCGAATTATTCGCGGGGGTCCACTAGTTAACAACTTATTTCAATGACATATGATTCCATGATATCATTTCAAATCAAACTATAACACAATTTTTTTCAGTTTTTTATGCTTAAATTGTTTCAAAACATTCACGGGAGCACACTGCGTGATTACAGCCATGAAAGATAAATGTCAGTCAAGGCACTAAAAAATCGTTACACACCTTTTAACGGATTGTTTAAACACGTTTTATTCAATTTCGGGGTCAGTCCAAACACTCATAGAATCTCACCAAATAATTGAAGATATCAAACTTAAAAATCAATCCAGCCGTAGGCTAGAAAAACAGTTACTTACCTTTTAGCAACTTGATTAAACACATTTTATTCAATTGCGCGGGTCAGTGTTTTTAGTTTCATTAGATCTCCGAATAACTCTAAAACATATACACTTTTTTTTTATAATCAAGTGATTTAAAGGTATTAAATATATATGCTCATTTAAAAATTTACAAAATTTCTGAAAAAAACTAAAAAGAATTGTTGAATTGGAAGATTTGGTGCAAAGATATGGTGTTCTAAATATTTACCATCTGTCCTACTGCAAAGCTGATATCCTTTGTTTTGGTTTTTATTTTTGGAAAGTCTTATATTACATACAGAAACTGAAGTTAAAAACATTTTATTTGAATGTAATTTAGTTCAATTTGTATATATTGATTCAAATATATTTTTTCTAATTAATTTTATGCTTATTTTTTCTTTGTTTGCATTAAATGTTCTTTTTTTTTTCCAAAGATTGCTGAGCACTTCGGAGGTGTTAGAACTGTAATTCAGGGATTTACCCAACAACAGCTATTTGCTGGATCTACCAAGAACTGTATCTTGTCAGGATCATTTGAACTTGAGTTCTCCGATGTCGTGCTCGGACATACTTCTGAAGTGTGGGCTTTAGCAGCCCATCCTTCATTGCAACAATTTGTCACTGCAGGATGGGACTCTATACTCCAGCTTTGGGATAGTGCTTCTCGCACTGTGGTCTGGAGAAAAGATATTGGGGTGAGGCAAAAAAATATTCCTTTTATATTAATCTTATATCATAGTCTTACATTCTTGTTCTTGCTGCTATTTTGATTGCATAATTTGAATACTTATTACTAGAGACCAGATTTCCATGTTATTGCACATTTTATTCGCTTGTGTATAAAAACTTCAAACCTGAATATCTATCTATTTTGAGTTCTTTAGAATAACATATTGAAATTTAATAATGCATGAAATTGCACATTTTGCTGTTTTTGACCTGAATTGAACGTTTTTGATTTTTGTTGCATTAAATTGCAAGTTTTTGCACCTTTTGTACTAGATTAGATGATTTATAAATGTAAATATATATGTTTTTGTAAATATTTACTTTTTTATTTTACTATATTGTCCATATAAAATTTATAATTAAAGTAGAAAAATATGAGAATGGTAAATAATTCTGTTATTAGCAATGGTTCGAATTTAATGTTAGAAACAGAAAAAATAAATAAAAATGAGTAATATTCTTGGAATAGAACTTGTTTAAAGTATTGTATAACAATAAAAAACTGACTTCCTAGAATAATCTGTTTTGTTAAAGACATTTATTATTATTGTTTTGACTTAATTCTCACTCATTCATCTGCCCTTCAGTAACATTTTTGGCTTTGAAGTGAATTGTAATAATTGTTATTAAAAATAAAAAAAAAATAAATAATATTGGCGAAGGATCTCAATCTGGGATAGCAGATCTGAGATATTATCAAATATTAAAACCTAGACATAAAATTATCGCGAGTTAAAATTTGATGGGAAAGATATCTTCTGTAAGGCCTGTGATAAATCAATCGGGTATGATAGGAAATTAGATATGATGTTTGTTTTTTAGAAAGAGCATATGTCCCAAAAATATTTTTTTAGTGATCTAGAAAAACAGCAGCAACACTAATATTTGATATTTGAGAATCACAAACACATTTTACAGAGTTTTTCTAAAGATTTTTAAAAATTCTAAAGGAGTTTCATTTTTAGTGCTGCTTTTAATTTTTTTTCTCATTACAAATTATTTTAATTCAGAAGTTTAACACAAGGTTTGTCATATTTCGATGTATTAATATAATAAATTAAACAAACATTTGTAGGTATTACTTACACAGTTTGACATATACATATATTATTTTTATTTTTTTTTTCTCGGACTTTTACACCATGAAAAACCGGTCTCGGTCTCTACTTATTACATTAATTGGGCCTTCTTTTTCCAATGAATGTACAGGATAACTTATATATTTATAGTGCTTTTTTTATATCTTTATATAACCTACTTGTAAGAACACAAATATGTACAATAGTCCTGCTATTCCAGACCCTGATTGAAAATAAAGTTTGTCTATAAGGGATTTTTTTTTTTGCCTTTGGGCTTTGCAAACTTTGCAGTTCTTTAGATCCCTTAACAAGCCTTCTCTTTCTGTGCCTATTTTGGGTTATTGCTTTTCCAGTTTTCTGCATGCAGCTCTGCAGCATCTTTGTTAATTTGATTTATTCATCTGGTTTTCATGCTCCAATGTGGTTTCTAGCCAGCTATTGCGGCATTCATTGTTGTGCCCACCATGCTTGATGGAGTTCTCTGTGTTATTTGTTTCTTCTTACTCCCTTCCATCTTCACCTCATTTTTCTGTATCATGAGATTTCGTATGCAAGTTTCTTTAAGATAGAAAAATATTTTTTTTTCATTGGTCCATCTCTGTTTCAGTGTGTGATTTGAGCTAAATACTTAAAAAAATCACAATATGTTCTATTTTTATATAGAGTAGAGGTTAAAACTGTTTTAAAAAGTGCCATTTTATAAGTTCTTGTGAATCTTTATTGGATAAAAAAAAATCCATTTTAACAGTTTCTACGAAACCTTTTTAGGAGAAAAGTTCTTAAAATAAAAGCTTTAAGGGGCTTTTTTGTAATAAAGTTCCAAATTTATGGTAAAAGTTTAACTTTTATTTATTGAAGTTCTTAAAAAACAGTTCTGTTAAATGAAAAATAAACAGTGATTAGATTTATAATTTTGTCTTAAATGAATTACTCATGAGATTCTAATGTGTCGTTTCAGTAGCTATGAATAAAAATAATTTTCAGGTTGACATTTTAGTGAAATCGACTGAACTTTTAAATAAAAATTGTTTAAAAATAAAAGTTCTGTAAAACTTTTACTGGAAAAGTTGTAAGGGGAAAAGCTCTAGTTCAAAAAGAACTGAAAAACTATTGACAATAAAGATTCCAATGATACTGAAACTTATTAAAAATAAAAGGTTTTTTTTTTCCGTTTCAAGCACTGATATAGAGCTACTAAATGTTTGCATGTTTTTTTTTTGTTTGTTTTTTTGCATTATAGACCTAGTAGATATCTTTCCGCCTTAACCAGCCTTCTCCGTCTCTTTCTAAATTGTGCTTTTTCTTTTCAATTATCTGCATGCAGCTCTAGTCCATATTTGTTGATTTGATCTACCCATCTGGTTTTTGGCCTTCAACGTGGGCTTGTGGGGTTTTTGGACTGCCTTCTATTGGAGATTTTTTAAATTAAATTTATTCAATTTTATTGAGCTAGACTGTTTACACACACACACACACCATTTTGATACTTGGGCTATTTGGACTCAGGGGACCTCAAAATTTATCTCTCCACTGAAAACGTGGATTCAAAATTTTTTATAATTACAATACTATCCCATAATATATATTTCATATAAATGTCAGTAAAAGTAAAAAAGCAAAAAAAAAAAAAAAAAATTAAAGATGGAGTGGTTTGAGATTGTTATCAATTTGATATTCTTCATTTATGTTTCTACTCATATTAATAAAATATTTTGCAGGAAGAAGGCCAAAGTGCTTGTTTTTCACCTGATGGTCAATCTATCATTGTTGGCTGTTCAACTGGTAAATGGCTCCATGTCGATGCTGATAGCCAAGAAATTTTAACTTCACACACTGATGGATCAGAACCAATACAGGTGTTTGCACTGTCTGGAGAATATTTTATGTTTATTGATCACATTAAAAACAAAAAAATAATATATATATATATATATATATATATATATATATATATAACTTATAGTGATTAGTATTTGTTGTCTTTATTTATTCTTTGAATCTACAAAGGAAAAAACAGTTTGCACTGTCTGCAGAATATTTTATATTTATTGATCACATTAAAAACAAAAAAATAATATATATATATATATATATATATATATATATATATATATATATATATATATATATATATAACTTATAGTGATTAATATTTGTTTTCTTTATTTATTCTTTGAATCTACAAAGGAAAAAACAGTTGCTTTTATTTTTCATTAAATTATTTTATTCAAACTTAAAAATAACAGTTCCATTATGAATTATTTTATGAAATAAGTAAACTGTTCTTAAATATTAGTTTCAAACAAATTAATGAACAGTTACACACTTTAAATTATATTCCATTGTATATATTTTTTTAAATTTAATTTATTAAGGAATATAAATATTTTCTGAATATTTATGAACTTTGTCGGTATTGAACCTTTGAGTTTCCTAAGCCTTATATAATTATTATTATTTTTATTGTTAAGTTTGTAAGTTATTAATTTTTCCTGTTAGGTAGTTCGTTTCTCTCCTAACTCTGAAATGTTGGCTCTTGGTTCTCGTGACAACAATATTTACATCTACCAGCTTGGAGCTGATGCTGGAAAATATAGTCGAATAGGTCAATGCACAGTGAGTGGTTTTATTTTTCCTTTTATATTATTTATTCTCATGATATAAAAAATTGAGAGCTTATTTTTTGTTTCTTTGTCTATCAAGAATAAAATTATTTTTTAAATTTTATCAGCTTAAAAGAACTTGTTAACAAAAATCAATTTTTATTAATATTTTTGAAAAATTTGTTATCCTTATAGATATTATTTTATCAACTTTGTTTTCAGTTGTATTTTAAATAATGTAGTTAAATCTCTACTTATCAAACATCCATTAATCTAAAGTATTTAATATATGAATATATTACATTTGGATTATGTATATTATATTGGATTTTTTAACAACATTGAATTTTGATTTTTAAAAAACATTTCGATGAATGATTTAAATTTCAAAAGATCAAGCTTTTTTTTATTTGAAAATTAAATATGTAAATACAGGGTGTTTCGTAATTGCACAGCACTATTTTAGGAATGTGTTCATTAACAAAAATAAACAAAAAAGTTCATATTAACATATATCTCAAACTCATTTATTAAACAGATATCAAAGATTAAAGATTTATTATTTATTTCCTACATTAAGATTGACTGTACAAAGCTTAATCTGTTTAATACTAAATAACAGGTTTTAATCATCTGATAAACAAATGAACGATAAGCAATGACAGTAGTTGCTCATCTGTTCATTTATTTTATAGTGTCACTGATTATTTAAATGCAACTTATGAAGACCGATGGGTTGGTCGAAATGGACCTGTTAAATGACCACCACGATCTCCGGATTTAACGCCAGATTATTTCGTGCAGAGCTGGATGAAGTCTATGGTTTATTCCGCGGCAGTTGGCACGCAAGAAGAGCTAAGAAATCGGATCGTGGAAGCCAAAGTAACTATCAAGCACCATCCTGATGCTATCTGACGAGCCAGAGAAGTGTGGATTTGTCATGTTGTAATAATAATAAATAAATAGTAATAATAAATAATAAATCTTTAACCTTTTATATCTGTTTAATAAATGAGTTTGAGATATATGTTAATATGAACTTTTTTGTTTATTTTGTATTAGTGAACACATACCTAAAATAGTGCCGTGCAATTACGAAACACCCTGTATAAAAATTTTAAGTCATATTAATAAAAAAAAAAAAAATTGTTACATTTTTCACCAGACTTACAAATTAATTTTTGTTCTATAAATATCTATCCCAACTTACCTTAATTAATTTAATTACAACTGTACCTTTCCTTTCCAAACTTACCCATAAACATCTTTCATTGTCTTTATACGACAACACGTGTATTGCAAACGTGTTAGCCTGCTCGGCCCCCGCCTTCTAAGAGAGAGACTAATGAATCATCTTCGGAGGCCCCACCTCTCTGGTATGCCAAATTAAAGTGGCTTTATCCTGCTTTATGACAGCATTATTTTTTTTAGTCCCTCTCATGTGAATTCAAGCTTGGGATGAAGGGGCTGATTCAAACAGTGTTGAGTCTCCTTAACTATCAATCATTCCAGTATTTGTAAAAATTAATTTTTTGGACTACTGGAATTAATTGTGTCATTTTACTGTTATAATTTATATTGCTTACAAGTGTATAACCGACATTTATTTATCTAAAATTTCATTATTTTAATTTATTTACTTGTACTTGCTTTTAGTTTATTTAAAAATTTGATTGTGATAAACAACCTTCTTTAGGTTATTCATATCTACAATTTAATTGGTTTGTAGTTATTTATTTTATATCAAATGATTGTAATTATAATTGTACATTTATACTATTCATAAGGTATTATGTGACCAGCAATAAAGTTTACTGTTCTTTTTTTCGAATTTATATATTTATTTTTTATTATATATTTATATTATCGAAGTTGACAAACATTAATCCAAATTATTACTAAACAATATTTCTTTGTTGAATTTCTAGGGTCATTCAAGCTTCATTACTCACTTAGATTGGTCTATGGATAGTCAGTACTTACGATCAAACTCAGGCGACTATGAAGTCCTATATTGTAAGTATCACTATGTTATATTTAAAAGTATTTTTACTATGTAGAAATATTTGTATTGTAAGATTCTTAGCTTTAATAATAATAAAGCTTTATAAATCTTATAGGCTAGACACTGATCCCGTTAATGCAGGTTCTTTGAAATATGAGTGCATGCATGCGTAGATCTGTATGTACAGACAAAAAACAAAAGATATACCAAACTGATATTAAGTATTTAAGGTACTATGTACTATGTCTAGGATGTTACACCAAACGTTTTGCTGAAATTGGCTTACCAGAAGTTCCACTTTATATCACGAAAACGACTCTTAAGTTTCGATTAAACCTGTTATTACAATGTAAAATCTGATGATTTTTATATAGTTTTACCCTTATTGAAATAATCTGACACGCTTTAAATGGGTCATTTTCAAAATTCTTTCACTAAAGTACTTTTAATCTGGTTTGTGTGAAATAATTAACCTTTTCTTATTATTTGTAGTAATAAAAATGGATAAATATAAATTATGAAAGAATTTGGCAGTTGTCTAAAAATAATTTTGTAGGTTAAAAAAAATTTCTAGGAATAAGAGTATTAATATAGAAGTATAATTCACCATTTGAAAACTCAATATTTTAGTCAAATTAATTTCTAAAATCCATTTTATTCATTCATGATCTTTTAAAATAGGTAAAAAAATGTATAAACATCGTATGATTTTAATTATTTAATTTAGCTCTTGAACTACTCTATAAAAAAAAGTTATCATTTATTTTTTATTATGAAGGGAGCCCTACTGTTTGCGAGCAAATCACACAACCTTCCAAGATGCGGGATGTTGAATGGGCCTCACAAACATGCACACTCTCTTTCACATCTGTCGGTGCCTGGCCTGAAGGTGCAGATGGCACTGATGTCAATGCATCCGCTGCTGCTGGTGGTCTTCTAGCAACAGGAGATGATTGGGGGAAAGTAAAGCTCTACAGCTGGCCAACTATTCAGCCGAAGGTAACATACTTTTTTATTAAGTAGAACCCACTCAACCAGCGATAAAAAAAATTAAAAAGTGGACTAGTTTCATTATTTCTACTATCATCAGATCTAAATTATTTTAACTAAATGCCACTAACATAAAAAAGAAAAAGTTATTTTTAATAGAGAAAATCTGGACCTGTGAACTTATCAGGATCAATAAGGACACAAACTAATGAAAATTTATATAATAAACTACAAAGATACTTACTATAGTGTGAAGTTAAAAATAGGGGATCATGTATTTCAATTGTATCAATATCTTTAAAGCATTTGAAATTTTCTTTCAATTTATGAAAAAACAGCTTGGTGACATAAAAAAAATTGACTTTTTATTTAAAATTATAAGTTATAAATTGTTGACTGTAGATAATAATGTGGTTGGGAGGTTTGTTGGGGGTTGCAGTCACAAAGAAAAAAAAATTATTTTAATTTTATTTGGCATAAAATAAAATATTTTTATTTTTCCCTGTCACTACAACTCCTATCTTCCTAACTGGGTTGTAAATCCTAATCATCATTGAAAAAGGAAAAAAAAAAAAAATATTTTCTATTCCAAAAGTAATATCAAAACTATTTTTTTTTTTTTTTAAATATAAACTAAGAAAATCTTTATTTGTAGCACATATTTTTGAAAATCACTGATTATTTCAATAATAATTAAAAATATTGAAACTTGTATAGGGCTGTATTTGAAAGAATTAAGTTTGAACAAAAAAAAAAGTTGATCAAGGTTCAATATATAGAGAAAAAATGGTGTATGATTCATGGGAAAGATAAAATTAATTTATTTTTAATTTTCTTTGGAATAAAACGTTTATAAAAGCTTTTCATGAATTACTTTTTTTTTAAGAATTGAAAAAAAAAAAAGGCTTCGGAAATACACTTATTTGTACACCACTTTTTAAAATAATTAGGTTCATTTTTGAAAAAAAAAAATAATAGCACTATCGGATTCATTGGGTGTTTTTACTTGGATCTTGATTTAAAAAAAAAAAAAAATTGATACTATTTTTAACAATTTATCAATTATTGTTATTTTTTGTTTTATCTCATATTTATCTAAACTAGTTAAAAAACTATTGACAATCAGCAGATGATCTGCTAAAAATAATGAAACTGACATGTCAGGTATGAGGAAGGATCAGTGATGGGACGACATAGGGGGAGCTGTGATTCTGTCACAGTGATTGAGGAGGAACTGGTGATCACAGTGACTGGCGTTGTAGTAAGGTTTTAGTTTTGAAATTGGCATTTGTCACTTCTCTATGAAATTCCCTTTCATTTGATACCTCATTCATTAAAACCTGTTGCTCCTGAAAGCTGGAAAAGGAATCTATACTACTGCATTATATACATTGAACATTGAATTAAAATTTCTTCATGATTTCAGTCAGAGTGTCACACCTATGGAGGCCACAGCTCTCACGTGACTAATGTTACCTTTCTGGCTGATGAGAGCAGAGTAATCAGTGCGGGCGGTCGAGACACTTCTATTCTCCAATGGAGAATCGTCTAAATACTGACATTTTTTACATTATATTAATTTTTGTTTTTTCTTAATGTAAAGAATGTCTACAATTTTTTTTTCAATCTCAAGACTTTTAATAAAGCCCAATCTATAAAGGTGTATTGTGATTTTTCATTAGATTTGGTCATTTCCAAGTTTAATAGAAATATGTTGTTATCACAAAGGTATATATTGTGTAATCACGTGGCACCATTAATCTTTATTACTGCTTTAAATGGTCTAAGGATTAGGCTATGGTATAAGGCTTTATATTATTATTTACTTATTCAATAAAGGTAGTTGATTTTAATAAAATGAATTTCAAATATTTTTTAATTATACAAATACTGTGATTATAAATAATTATTTCCTTGGCCCACGTGCCTTATCAATACTCAATGTAACTGATTGATCATCAAATCATTATCTTGATTTTTTTTTAATACTAAACTAACTTTTTTTATATTCTGTGTAAAAAAAAAAGTATATACTATTTGTATATGTGGATAGGCATGCTTTTATAGGCATTTATATGCTTTTATAGGCATGTAATTTTGTCTTTCAAAGCCTGTCCATACACAAGATTAGTCAAGATATGATTTTCCGAGGTTCAATCTTGTTCAGAACTGATCCTTTGTTCCCTTCATATTTAGAGCTAAAATGAATATATAATTTATGAAGTGTTAGATATTTATAAAAGTATTCAGTATATTTTTAATTTATGATATCTTGCTGTGCCTAGTATATTGGCTTTGAATAATGTATTTTTATTAATGTTTACTCACTTGATTATAAGCATTGTTATTCTTAGCTGTGATATGGAACTTTTTATAATTATTTTTGATATAATAAGATATACTTATATTTTTATTATCATTATGTTGTGATATAATTATTTAAAATAATACAAAATCATTAGAATCATATAGAATCATTAGACCTGTTAACCAATTCCAGTTGTTGAGTTTACTAATTAATAACAGCTAATTTTGTTTTATGAAGTATCGAGTCCAAAGTATTTTATATTGATTTCTAATCTTATTTTTACTTTTATTTCATTTTGATTCATAACCCAGCACATATCATACGATTAATTATACAACTAAGAAACTTTATATATAATTTATTTTATTATTTTCATTTTATGGTAACCCCAAGGAGGGAGAGTTTATTAAGTGACTATTGCATGCTTCATGCCTATTGTAATTAGGCACACTGCAGTTATTACATGTTATATTTAACAATACATAATATATTTAGATTGTTTTGCAATATTTAAAAAATTAATTAAATTCGTAAAACAAATTATGTAAGAAAAAAGAAAATTACCAGAATCAAAAAATTTCTATATAAAAATAAAAGAATATAATATAAAATAAATGAAGTAAAATAGTATAAATGATCAAAAAATAATTAAATAAATGAAAATGAAAAAAAACTAGTTAGAAAAAATGACAAAATAATTAAATAACAAACAACAACAAGCAAAGCGAAACTGATCAATTTTGCTTAATTTTTTTTTTATGTTTTCAACTGTATTAAAATAATACAAAGCCTTAATTAAACAATTGTTTATATCTACTTATTTAATTCAATATAATAATTTATTATTTAAATCACATAGTAGGTATTCTATTTATAAATATTTCGTATTTATGATTTTCCAATTATGTATTTTGTTTTAATTTTGAGAGTGTAAAAAAGTTAGAATAATATCGAAGAGATATGAAATTGTGATTGTGTAAAATACTTGAAAGATTTTCATCAATAAATATTAATCTAATATTTAAATTAAAAATTACCCTCAGACCATTAATTATAATTCTTGTGAATGAGTAATTTAATAAAATGAATGATGTTCTAGTTTTTAATCATAATGACCATCTAACTCAGTCACTTTCTAACAATAACATATTGTTGAGTGTGCACTAGTGTTTACCTGGTGCTGATTGTAAATATTTACTATTTATAGGAATGGAACTAGAAAATCAAAAGATTATTGTTGTCTATTTTAAATATATTTATGTACCAATGATTTTTGATCATCCAATAGATTTGTCTTGGAATAAAAATTATTATAATTTTTAAGCTGTCTTATTATATAATAAAAATGTATTAACTTTCTAATTTATTGCTTGCCTTCAAATATTACACAGATGGAGCAAACTAATCCTAGCACAAATTATATGAAAATGTATAATTTACATTTACTTTTTTGCTATGTACCTGTTACTTATTGTTCTTTAAATATATTAAGCTTCACAAGTTTATTTTTTAATTTTTTTTTTCCTCCTAGGATTAGGCATAGTTTATTGAATCTTTATTTTTGGCTTTATCAAAGGATATGTTAGTTTTGAGCACTAGCGGATCCAGGATTTAATTTTGGTGGTGGCTTCAGCCTGAAAGCTTTTTTTCTTTCATAAAAATAATGATAATTACTTTGGAAAAAAAAGAAAGAAACTAACTACGTGTATGAAATGGTGTTTAAGTAATTCCTAAAGCCCTTTTAAATGTAATTACATGAACAATAATACTTTAAGAGGTAATTTTTTAATACTTTTTTCGATAAAACATGGTTATATTTTCCCATTTTGGGGAGGGGTCTTCAGCCCGAAAGCCCTCCCCCTGTAGATCCGCCCATGGTTTTGAGCATGATCTCAATAATATACCTCCCAGGAATATCTTTCTTTCAAGAAGTTTAAAAAGCTTGTTGTTGTGCGGATCACACAACTTTCACTAACTCTACTTAGCAGAAATAAGTATTTTCAGACAAGGCGAAGCGAAAGTAAAAATTATAGACTCTATATTTATTTATATTTCATTGTGGGTATTTTTATTTCTATAAGTACTCTTATATATACAAATTTTAATATTTATATAGCTGTAATCTATACAATTAAATATTAAATAATACCAACAAAAGCATTTATGAAATCCACATTATGTATATTTATAAAATATTGCCTGAGTCCGTATTATATTAATCTCATGATACATATGAAAGAGTGTTCTAATCTATCGGGAGAGCCTGGGTGCGCTCGTCTTCCTTGATTCTTCAATTACAATTATTCTCCGTTACGATCTCTTATTTTTCCTTTAGTTAATTATCAAGGTACTTAAGAGGAAGCTAATATTGAAAATTAGCCATTTAAGCCCTGTTAGAGAACATCAATCAAAATAATAACCACATTTTATTTAAAACTGCTTAATTTTACAGTAACATGATGATTTTAATCAAAATCGTTAGAGCTGTTTTCAAGATATGTTAAAAATATGTTTACTCCATCATATGAAATGCCATTTCCGGTTAGCCGATTTTGACGAAAAAGTTGCTGTAACATCCGTAGCATATAAAAACCTTAAATATATAATTTCACTTCCGTATGACTTTATGTTTTTTAGCTAGACAAAAAACACACACACAGACCATTTTGTGGGACTTGGTTATTTGGGCTCAGGGGACTTCAAAATGTGTATATCTGTTAAAAACTCAGATTCAAAAATTTTCACGATCGCAATACTTACCCTTACTATATATTACATATATACGTAAGTGAAAGTAAAGAAAATGAGTCAGCCTATTTTAATTAATTCTTAAAATTATATATTATTTGTCGATGTTTTACTTTAAACATTCTAAATATTGACACCATTTAACCCACTTTCATGAAAACATGCTTTCATTTTGAAGGCACATTTAAATTTTATTGTAATACTCAATACATCACTGGGATTTAAATAAAACTGTTAAAAAAAGGAAAAAGAGAAGACAAAAAATTATTCATTTACCTTGGTAATTGAGGTTTTATTTTATTTATTAAAAAATATATTTTTAATAACTATTTTTTTAAATTTACCATAACAATATTTCATATATTTATCAAATTATATATTTCTTATATACTACAAATAATGATTACAATACACTAATTTATGAACAATAAATATTTTTTCTTACATCTTGATTTACTGCCAATCAGTATCATTTTCATTTAAATCGATGTCATCTATCTCTTCTTGCAATAGAATTGCTCCATTTTCCTAATATTTACAGATCAATTAGATATTTTTATTATTCATTACTCTTATTATTTTTATTTTTTTGTATCGGGAAACATATAAAATTATTTTATACTCAATACAATTTTAAATATAAAAAATACAACAAATAAAAAAGTTCCTCTAATGAAATTCTGACAGACTAAATACAAAATTCTTCATGAATGCATATTCAGTTTGCATGTTTTTTATGTTTTTTTAGTGAAAATATTTCCAAATGTGCATTTATGTATCATTCAATCTATTTTCATTTCGTTTACTTATGTATAAAACACATGTAGCTCAATATTTTGGATTACTTTTTGTATACACAGAGATATTTATTGTTTAAAAAGATCTTAATTCAAGACAAAACACTTTGAGGAAAAAAGAAATGCAAATTTAAAATATAAAACAGGCGTGGAAAAAAAAAAAAAAGTAATCCTTAAAAAGGCTTGTTGTCGTACAGAGGACTGTATGATATTTACTTAGCAAAATCTAGAATAAAAAAAAAAAAAAAAAAAAAAAAAAAAAAAAAAAAAAAAAAAAAAAAAAAAACCTCACTTTTATATACATTTATACATACTTTTATAGTCTTTTCACCCTGAAGCTCATCAAAGCAGGTAACGGGCTGGGAAGATTAGCAAAAAATAAAGAAAGGGAATAATTTGGGAAAGGGAAAGCTTCTTACATCCAGGTTTTTACTCTCTGATGTTACTTCATATCTATGCACTACTACTCTGATTGGTAAGCTATGATGTGACCAAGTAACACTTGTCACTCTACTATCAGAATATATGTTCGATGATCACCTGTCACCCTGAACTGGTCGAATCTCTTTAATCCATTCTCCTCGCCCTCTCTGTCAATAGTACAAGGATTTAAAGCAGAGAGCAGGAGCCGATAGAGATCCCATATTAAGTAATTCTCAATTGCATTGAATTTTAATTTAAATAAAAGTTAACCCTAAACTGAAAAATTATTATAATAAAGAATTCCTTAACAAAATATAATAAAAATAACAATTATTTTCTCGGGCATTTTAACAAGTCATACATACTTCTGCGTTATTGGGATCCCATAGACAACATTCCTCCGTCGGCCAGAAACCATCTATTTTTTCAGCTAATTCATCTTCGTTACAATTAACATTATGGAGAGTTATACCCTAGAGAAAAATAAAATTTTATTATCACAATTCGTATTAATTGAATTAAATAAGAGCCAAATTATTGCAGAATTTATCTGGTGATGAAAATGGAAATAAAAAGAAGATTACGAAGAATTTGAAATCATTTCTGCAAAATTTACTCTGCTAATAATCGCATACTTACTTTTTTAATTTCCTCAGTTTCAATTAAAGTTTTTGATGCAGCTCTGCTAGTTGCAGGTAGACTGTCTTTGTCTTCAATGTTTTCTTCCACCACAATATTAGTCATTTTAAGAACTTTTGCAATCTCATCAATATGAGAATCAGTTATGTTTTGGGTAAGAGAATTTGGTATTTCCTTATTCTGTAAATAAATACAGGTGTTAAAAATACTCAATAACTCAATTCTAAATTAATATCAACTAAATATAAAACTAAATTTTATCTAGTTTACCATAGAAAAAATTAGTACTCCTAAGTAAAAGTATGATTTCATAAAATGTTGATATATTCACAATTATGCATACTTAATGATCAATATTTATTTATTTTTTAAAATGCAGAGTGTGATTTATTATCAGAAACAGAAATTGTCATTATGTGTGTTTTATAATTGTTAATGCTAAATAAAATCATGGTTTTTGAAGACCAAGACACTTTTCCTATTCAGACATTAAATTTTATTAATTTTTAATTCCTTTCCTTATATTTAATTGGATTGTGGGTATACAAATATTTTAGCTATTTGTTAATTTTATATAAGCCATTGTGTGTCTTTAAAAATTTCAGAGGGCTACTTAAGATGCTCAACTGATTTCCACATTTTTATTTATTATTGTTTGAGATAAATTTTTATCTGAAGCAGGGATTGTAAAAATAGTCAATGTTAACCTCTAGGTTTCAATATAATACTTTTGTGAGTATATTTGGCATTCAATGGAAAACTAATTAAAAATTTCAAGCATAATTATGGTTATAATATTATTTAAATTTTTTTAATTATATATTTAAAAAAGAACCTTAGTGTGGATTCTCAACAAAATGTATGGTAAAATTTGCTCACTATGAAAGAACTACTCATCTTACTAAGAATCATCAAGAACGATCTTACTGATTAAGGCATAGAAAATATATCTCAAATTATAGTTATAAAAATGATGTAGAGTTGGTTGACCGTTGATATGATATGAGAAGGAATTAGTCGAGGGTGCGGTCAAAAAAATTAAAAAATTAAAATATATAAATAATTTTAATTTTTGCCGACGTTTCGACCCACTTTGCAGGTCGTCTTCAGGGCTACAAAAGATACAAACATGTTGAAAAAATAAAAATAAATATAAGTATATATAAATTACAGAGGGCTACTTAAGTAATTTATATATACTTATATTTATTTTTTATTTTATTTTTATTTTTTCAACATGTTTGCATCTTTTGTAGCCCTGAAGACGACCTGCAAAGTGGGTCGAAACGTCGGCAAAAATGAAAATTATTTATATATTTTAATTTTTTAATTTTTTTGACCGCACCCTCGACTAATTCCTTCTCATATATTTATAAAATTATTATTAACAAATACATTTTTTTTTCTGACTTGAATGGACCACTTAAAATAAATTGCCCCATGTAAAAGAGTTGACATTATCTAATTTGAATTCCTGAATTCCCTTTTCAGATATACAGTGGGTGAACAAAGTATTGGCACACTACAATCTCTATGTAAATCTCAATAGGATTAAGATATTTTCCAAAAATGATATCTATATAACAAAGCAGTCTTTTAGTATTATATTTTAGAAGCAATGCATTTTCAGAATTCAAAAGCTATGTTTAAAGTAAAAATAAAGAGTAAATTTTGAGGGTCAAAAAAGTGTTGGCACAGTTTTAAATGTTTACTATTAGCTCCAGTCATAACAATTACTCCTTTTTCTTTTGAGAGATTAGAAACGAGGATTGATAGTGATACTATGACAACAATAAAAATCAGTCTTTGCCATAAGAACATGGGTAAACCAGTCAATATTGTATTACTTTAAAAAAAAAACATTAAATTACATTCTAATGCATTTAGCTACTGAGAAATACCAAATAAATTAGAAATTAGTTTTAGCAGTGTTCAGAATATTGCACAAAAGTTTAGACAATTTTAAATAAACCCCGTTTAGAAAGAACACCAAAATTAAATGGGAGGGCACAAAGGAATATCCTTCAAATTGTTGAGCAAAATCGCACTTTATCAGCCGTCGAAATAGCTGAAGAGGTTGCATCTACGTCAAATACTACTTTCTGTAACAAATATAATTCATATATATAATTATTATGGCAGGTTCTGAAGGAAAAAAAAAATTATTACAAAGGTAAATCGCAAAAAAAGATCTGAGAGTTTGCCAAAATTTAAGTTAATAAAGACTTCTAATTCTTGAAAAATGTTATTTACTCAGATGAAAGTAAGTTTAACATATTTCATTCTGATGATGACAAGTACGTTCGGCAGAAACTTAGCACTGAGTTTCAAGTTCGACATTTGAGGCCCACTGTAAGACATCGAGGTGCAAGTATCCAAGTTTGAGGAGGCATGTCATGGAATGGTGTTGGAAATTTAACCTTTATTGACAATATAATGAATGGCACCCAATATGCCGACATTTTGTGACATAATTTAACAAGTAAAGCCGAAAATATGAGGATCAAAGAAGCATTTATCTTCTGACAGGAGAATGACGCCAGGCACATAGCAAATAAAACAAAAGAATGGATGCTGTACATTAGTCCCAACCAATGGAAATCGCCACTTCAGTCTGCGAACAAAAATGCTACAGAACAACTATTTATTTGTTGGATTTTAAAGTAAGAAAAAATAAAGTTTCTTCAAAAAATTATTTAAAAGAAACTTTGTCAGAGAAATAGCATAAAATTAAACTAAACCTAACTCAAAATCTTGTTTTCACGATGCCAAAAAGATTCCACGATGTCAGAGATGCCAATGGTATGATGACAGAATATTACTACATATCCAGTTTGCGAAATAATCATCAAATTAAAGTGTATCAATACTTTTTTGACTGTTTGAAATGATTTTTCGTTTACTGATTTTTCCCACAATTATTTATTTTTCTGAATCATTAATTAAATGAAAAATTTTAACTAATTAATTTTTTTTCACAATGAAACATAAAAAAAGTTAGGTGTACCAATACTTTTTTGATCCACTGAATAAACTAATTTTAAAATTTTAATAAATGGAAACTTAAAAACATATATCATAAAATTAAAAACTTTGCAATTATATTGGAAGAGTAAATATCTGATGACATAATTGTTGTTAACTCTTTGTCAGTTACTTCATCAGTCTGTTTTTCAATGTTGACTTGAGGAATTATCCCATTTCTATCAGGACATATTAAACTTCTTTCAGGTTCTTCATCATGAAATGATGGTCTCTTTTGTAAAGTGTGCGATGTATTGGAACTAGGATTGATGAGTGAATCTAGTTTATCTTTGATAGCAAGCTGGAAATCGTTTGTATTATCGACCTGAAAATTGAAATATAAATGTTTATTTATGACATAAAATTTTTTTATGCAGATTATACTACATTTAATAATAATTAAATAATAGAATGTTATGCCAGATAGAAGAGAAATAATATCAGCTTTAGTCTAACTTAAAATCATACCTTCATATTATAATTTAGTGGACATTCATCAAAGTGTTTATTAAAATGGCTAGAGAATAATTTAAGCAAATAGAAAAATGAAATCGTAAAATAAAGAAGGAAGTGAATAAAATAATTTTAAAATAAAACAAAAAAACATCCATCAAAATTTTGAGAAAGAGAATGTTCACAAAGGTATCTTGAATCCAGTCATTCCATGACTAATAGAAAACAAAATACATTATTAATAAATTTAAACAATTTGTTTCTTACAAAGGGTGATTTGAATTGTGAAAATGGGAAGTTCTCATCTCAGTTTTGAGCAGTAAAATAAGTAATACAAGGCTAAATACTCTTAAAATTCTGAGCATATTGCAGGATCAGGACTAAGCTCTTGACTTGAACAAAGAAGTACAAAAATTTTTCCATTCAAAGAAAAGATGAGAGCTTTGATAGAAATTTCAATTTTTATACTAATATTAATACTAATTTAAACAGAAAATTAGCAGTTGATTAATATTGTAAATAAATGGTCAGGTTGTTACTCTTAGCACATTTTAACTTGGCTAGAATGCAACACTACTTTATATTTTCGAAAAGTGTTAAACAATATTTTGTGAGAATTTGTAGTAATTTATATTTCCACTTTAATCAGATATTCAGAATATCTGTTCCTCTTTTAATAAATTTGTTGTTAATGATTTCTCCTTAAAATTTAATATCTTTTTTATATAAAATATTTATACTTCATGAAATTCTAATAATTCGTTTCCTATTTTTTCATCTCCATTAAGATTTAACAATCTCATTTTTTCCATTATTACATATCCAAACTGTATTGCACACAAGGGACTGACAGTTTCCTGATGGTCGAAACTCGTGTTGGAACAGATTTCATGTTTATTGGCAAGTTCCTGAATTCAGCATTAATTCCATTGATGGAATCAATCTATCGATTGAATTCGGCCCCGATGAATAGCGATTTTTACTGAGTTCAGAAACGATCTTCTGGATTCCAGCGGATGGTTAACCCTTTTGGAAGGCTACAAAATATATGACAAATAAAAAAAAAATTAAATAGATAAAAATAAAAAAGATAATGAAACATTCTGAATTGTTAAAATTCAAAACATAAATAAATAGAGTACTGAAAAATAACAACACTGAGGTTATAATGAGGTTACATCCGGTGGATCTATGGAGCCCAAATTGAATAGCTGTGCCATCGGCAATTCAATCGATGGATAAAGGAACACATTGATTACATCGGATTTATGTACGGTCTGATAAATTTTCTATCAGTTCTAATATTCTAATGATTTCAACGCTGAGTTTCGGCATTGATCCTATCTTTTAATCCAATTTCCATTAAAATGGCACATTTTTTGTTGCTATTAAAGAATTATAGACTAATAAAATCTTCATAATAGCCGTGAGGTTTAAAGGAAGTTCCTTTAAAACTCCTAGGACTGAGCTTAGTATTTGTCATGAAAGAAATTATCGAAACAGTTTAATCTAATCTAAATTAAAATAATTTGAAATGTAAAATACACTACTAATGAAAATAGGACTCATAGTAATTTCAGCTTGGATCACTAGCGGATCTAGGATTTAATTTTGGAGGGGGCTTCAGCCCGAAACCTTTTTTTTCATAAAAATAACGATAATTACTTTGGAAAAACAGAAAGAAACTAACTACCTATATGAAATGATGTTTAAGTTATTCCTTAAGTACTTTTAAATGTAATTACACGAACAATAATACTTTAAGAGGTATTTTTAAAAAAAATTTCCCATAAAACATGGTTATATTTGTCCATTTTTTTTGGGGGGGGGGGAGAGAGCTTCAGCCCGAAAGCCTCTCCGTAGAACCGCCCGTGGCTTGAATCCTCAATGCTTGAAATATTTTAAATATATTTAATTTGACAACACGGCAGCTTTGTAATTATGCTTATAGTAAAGTATTTTAATGGTACTTATACAATATGTAAAGACATAAATTCTAAGATATATTGATAAATAAATGTTTAGCGTCTCTGTATTAAAGTTTTTACAGTCTAAAAACGTAATTTAAATTTAAATCATAACTAATAGATATAACTTGTTTCCATTCGTTATGATCAAACTGACGGTTATATTATTTTATTTTAAGACTATATATAGGAGTAAAATCACCTCCTTATTCAACCCTTGACTAAGAAACAGTACTTTCCCTAAATAGCACAGAACCCAAGACCGTCCATGGGTTGTAGTGGTACAGGTATATAAGAGCAAAATAGACGTATTATAATAACCATTATACTATTGTTAAAATAATTTTTAATCTGAGTTTACCTGCATTAATTGGAAACATTTTAAACGAAACTGGTCATCCAAACTAAATCGTATGATATCAGCAATAGAACTTGATATTGTAGAATTATATTTTTCTTTCTTTTCGTCCTAAAATAATGTTGAAAACATTAATTATTATAAACCATCTTAGTTTGATATTTTTAATAAAAAGAAATAATTTACATCACTCTGAAATCGTCTTTTCTGTGGACGCGACATTCTCTTGAAAGAAAGCAACAATAACAGGATATTAAATTTTGGCACATATACAGTGTTGGCACCTAGGAGTAAATAAACCAGTGTTGACATTTTTAAAAAATATATTAAATCTTAAGTCTCAACCAGACTTTTTCATTGAATGGATCTTATTTTTAAGTACCTACGCCTTTACTCTGTCTAGATCCCTTGAACCATGTTAAAAATAACAGAATAAAGTTATAAATAATAGTGCAGTAGTCCCTCGTTAATGACCTTTGTCAATGTGAAGGTTTTGTTTTTTAAATATATTAGGCTGTCAGTCAAGATAGTGTTTTGAACGATGATGCCTGCTTACAGGACTAAGATGTTCTCCTATTATCCTCCAGTATGTAATTGTGTAATAGTCCAATTACCTATTCCTCCGGAAATTCTTTTATAATTTAGAGCAAAAAAATAAAAATTCTTTGTAAAGCACTTTCTTTCATTATCATTAAGAAATAGGTAAACAGAACAGCATCAAAACATCACCAAGTTATTTTAAATTTATTTTTCCCTAATTGACAGAAAACCATTTTAAATTCATTTTTGAAAACTTTTAAGTACTCTATATAGAAATAAACAAAGAAAAGATTTTTTAAATTTCAGAATTGTATAATAAAACAATATTTATACTAATTTATTATTTGACACTTAGCCAAGTTGCAACCTCCACTAAGAACTATTTTTAGAGTATTAGTTTTATGTAAATATACCTTTAGAAATTTCTTGTTTCCATTCTAATTGAACATGTCAACAATCATTGTTGTTTATATTTCAGACTAGAAATATGGACATAATAGGAAGTCTTCCTCCTGAAATAGCAATTGAAATATTGAAATACTTAAATGCTAATGATTTAGCTTCATGTTGTTGTGTAAGTAAACAATGGAGATCTTATGCAAATTCAGATGTACTTTGGAAGAAGATGTGCAAAAAACATAGATTGTGTGTGGAGGAGTGGGTTTTTTGTGCATTAGATTTTGATAATCCAGGTATGGTCTTGGTATTTATTAATGATCACCAATGAATTATTTTAGCATCTTATTCTATTATTTACTTGTGTCTATTACTATTATTAAGAAAATCTTTTTTTTTTAAATTCCAGTATAATTTTGAAATCGCATACACAAAGCCTTGAGCCTCCAAAATACCGATAAAGAACATTGTTCTAAGTCAGACGTCTTTAGGACACAAAAAAACAAATCCACATACATACAGACTAAACAGAGCATATCTTACTTCAAGATACCTTAAAAAGAGGCAGTATATTACATCAATACCTATATTCAAAAAAACACATTAATGTTTTTGGCATGTTAGGGTCTGTTGAATTGATGGTAAATGCTAAAAGTTATTTCACCAAAATTGTATATAATTGATATTAGATTCAAGTGTTTTTATTGGCTTATTTTAACCAAACTTATTAATAACTAAGAAGAAAATTAATAATTTAAAATTTAGGATTGTGTAATATTTTCAAGATTCATACGTTTTAAATAAATAATGGTTATCAGTACCTAATTAATTGGTTTAGAATTCAATTCTTTTATTTCTTTAACTTCTCAGAATATTATGTTAGTAAAAAAATTAAATTTATTCCAGGAAAATGGTATTGAGCTTGATATCATTAAATTAAAAAATATTGAAAAATCTGTAAAATCATTTTGGCATTAAAGATTTTTGTAATGTATGTATTGATTTCATCCCTAAATTTATTTGAAGGGTCAAAAGAAAAACAACATGAAGATATTTTTTTCAGAAAACAGCTGATCGATTTTATTTTGTTACCATGATTCATCACAACTGTCTGAAGCCATTTTTATTGATGGCTTGCGTAAATATAATAACAAATTAGAAATAAATTAGCAATTTATACATAGTAGTCATGAATAGAAAGTCTTGTTTTTTTTTTAAATAAAATTTTTAGAGGTATTCATAATTTCTTCGAATGCTTCATTTGATTCTATACATACCTAAATATATTGTTGCAAGTTGAGGTATTTTATTTAGGTTCCTATCAATGGAATATTCATTTTTTATCTCTATGTACATTATGATGGAATTGTATTAAAAGCAGGTTAAATATTAAAATATTTCTTACCTCTAGAACTTCACAGTCCAGTTTTTAGAAATTGGAAAGGCAGTTATAAACTTCATTATCTTATTATTATTTGTCACAATTTTGAATTTAATAACTGAATCAAATGCCAATTAAAGAACCATTAAATGAGGAAAATGTTTCATTTAGTGGGGAAAAGAGAACAAATTAAATTTGAAGTTTATAGTTGAAGAATTCTAAACATTAGTGAAACATCAATGAAAATTTAATATAAACTATTACCTATCAAAAGACAATTAATGTTTCCTTGTATTAATCGAATCTTGTACCATTTGTTTGTGTTAATTAGTTATATAATAACAACAAAATTAGTACAAAGAGGCTTTAATGCCAATTTCTAATACATTATCATTTTTTTTAATTAATGTTTATTCTTGATGTTATCCATTTTGAGAAGTATTTAATTGTTACTCTTATTTCAATTAATTATCATGATTCAGTAAATTTAAAAAAAAAAAATGATTACCTGCTAAAATCATTTTAACAGTGATTAGCTATGGAATAAAAATTATAAGGTAAAAAAAAAATACAATTATTGTTTAGTTAAAAAAATGTATTTTTACTTCCTTTTTTTTAAACCAAGAATGAAAAATTAAAAAAGTCTAATTGAATTATTTTTTGAATGAATGAAGTCTTCTTTATCTATTTGAATTAATTTTTGACAAATAAGACTTTCTTAATCATTTAATTCAAGTTATGGTGTTTCCAATGACACACATGACGCTAGAGGTGTAGAATTAAGGTTTTTGCATGGGTCGGTACGCCATTGTGGACGAGGCCTTAATGCATTAAAAGATTCTTAGTTGAATTGTTCATCCATAGCTAACTCCTGAGACACTTTACAATACTCCTGCTACTTTTTTCAGTTTGAATCCGATAACAATGGGTTACAATGTTATGACTTATAATGTTGTGAAGGTGTTTCAACATCTGCTAAAGTGAATGGAAGGGTTATGTGAATTTTTCGAAAACCATTGGTTAAAAATTCAGAATATATAACGTTTTTTTTTGGAGAAGTACCATTTACTATGAAGTAGCAATTATTTTTTAATAATTAAAAAAATAATTTTGTAAATATAAGCAACATATTGTTAGGTGAGTATTTCTTAGTATGTTAATGGGAATTATCTTTTTCAGGGGAATCTTTAGAACCTAGGTCATATTGGGCTACAGCCTTTGCTCAATATGCACAAAGGAGGCTGCATAACTGGCGCCAGGATCGTAAATCAGTGCATGTTATTGCCACATGGAACACAACTGTAGTTTCTGTCTATGATACACTTTTAGCATATACAGATGAGCTTGGAGTCATATTTGTTTATGACCTTGAAGAAAAGAACCGTTTTATTCAAACAATACAACTAGTCTCTGATGAACCAGTAACAGCTTTAGGCCTCACTAAATACCATCTAATTGTGAGACAAGGCGATGTCTTCACTGTATTTTCAAGGCACCAGAATTACTTCCTTGAAGGATTTCTCGTATGCCATGAAGACTCAATTGTTTTAACTCGATATTATTATCCATCTGATTCAAATGGTTTGAGGCATGCGGTAATTGAAAACGGTTTATGCATACTATATGGATGTCAATTATACATTTATTCACTACTGTTTTCAACAATGCACACTTTTAAGGTAGAAAGGAAATCTTTTCTATTGCATGATCATTACCGAGTTTACGTAGCTACCAACAAATATACGGTCACAGGATTCGATGCTAATGGCTACTATGTTGATTTTAATATATTCCCTTCTTCAGTAATTAGTATCAAATCAAACTTGGATATGACAGTAGCACTTGTCAGTGAAGAGTTTCATTCCGGCCGCTATTATGTTTTTAAAGTTTGGTCAAGATTTTCTTATTTTCGAGAGTTTTCTACTTCACGATCATTTGGATATGAAGTGTCTTATTTTGAACCCAAATTTGCATCTGTCGCTAACTGTAAATTTGGACAAAGAGTTTTATTAACTATTTACGACTTAGAATATGCTACAGAATACAGTGTTGACCTGCAGTCTGTGGATCCAGTAGCACAGGCTAAATTGCAATTTATAAGCAAAGATTTACTTTACGTTATTACTCGAGCAGATTGGGGTTGTTACGACACAGGCTATTTAATAGATCTAAAAACTAACCACATCCTGTATGAACTTGACCTTGATTATGCCAGTGTTGTTTCTATAGATTCAAAATTAGCTGTATATCTGAATTCTGAAGCGGTTGAAATACACTTTTATAACAGGTGGTAAAAATAAATTACAAGCAATTCTATGTGACAGTTAATTGTAAGATTAAATTTGAAGGAAAGTAAAATAAAGGAATTTACCTGATTGATGCATTTATGAAACGATTAAATTATTATAAGTACTTATAACAGCTATATTTATAAAAACTTAAGGATAATTGTGGTTTTACTGGAAGAAATCATGTTTTTCATAAAATAAGTTTCGTTTTAATCAAGTCAGTCACTGATGTGTTAATTAGTGTTCTACTAATTGAAATTAATGATAAATGTTATGTTTTTTGCTGTGATTTCCAATGTATTATAGATAAACTTTGATTTAATCAATGTTTTAAGGGATTGGATTATTTATTCTGTGATATTGATTAAAGTGATGTAAATATACCTGCCTTTCAGTAGTATTAAACAAGGAAATGTCATCAGCATTAAATGTACCTGAACCAGTTTTATTCGAAGTTATTAAAAATAAAAAAGGAGATATTTTTATTTTGTATTTTATTTAGACATTCCATTTCTGATCATTTTCCTCTCAACATTAAAATGCCTCACTGCATCTAAATACATATTAACACTAACCCATTAGTGGCCAGAATGTTTTCCATAACGAACAAATTTACAAAAATCACTTAAGGGTTAAAAAAAAATAGAGGGTGATGAATTAAAATATTATGAGTTGTCATTTTAAAAATAACAATATGAACATTACATTCAGATAGAGGCAACTTGAAAATTTTTATGAAGTATAGTATGAAAGTGAAGTTGTGGGATTTGCATGTGTATGTGCTTTATTGATCAGAAGATATGAATTAATTTATTTCCTTGTCCTTTTTATTCAAATCTATAGGTTCATATATTTGCTTTAATATTACAATTAGAAAAAATATATTTGTTTTTCAATCCACCAATTGTCTACTCCTTTGTTGTTCTACGTTGCCTTTCCATGTTTCTTTTCTTACTATAAATCTTTCATCTCTCTCTCCACTCTCTATTTTATTTTACTTCTCCCACCCCAATTAATTTTTTTAAGCAGTAATATTACTTTCCAAGAGAAATCTGTTTTTAATTTAATATTTTCAACATTTTTGTGTTATTTTTACTTCCACTTACCTATATATATATATATATATATATATATATATGCATGAACTGTAAATGTATGTATTACAAGATCATAAAAAATATTGTACCTGAGTTTTTAACAGAAATAAGTTTTAAAGTCTGCTGTGTCTCAATAACAAAGTTTCACAAAATGGTGTGCGTGCATGGGTATAAAACTAAAAGAATTTTAGGGTGGTATATGCCTAGGATACCACAGCAATGTTTTAACCAAAATTGTCTAATTGAAAGGTCACTTTATGTCAGCAAACTTACATATTTTTACTAAACTTTTGTACCGATGATAAACCAAGTGGTTATACATGTGTTATTCCCATTGAAATAGACTGAGAGAGATGCAATGTCAAATTGTTAGTTAAAATATAAACTATGAAACAATTTAATGAGAAATTAAGGTTCCTCAGAAGCTGAGAACCAACTTGATTGGAGGTATAGCATATTGGAAATCGCAAGTACAGTGCTTTCATATAGTTAGTTAACTGTTATATTTTATCTAGTAATATTAACTCTTTCCTCAATGAGTTAATGTGAAATTGTTTCTAATAAATCCCAGTTAAAAAAAATCAAAAAAAAAATCAACTTTTACCCACAATCATTCTCCTACTTTATGTATTTTTTTAATATAACATTTGAACTTAATTTATAGCCCAGAAAAATCTATGTAGTCAAAATGCTATCAAGGTTATGCAAGAATGTCGTATTTTCTTCTACACCTTTGACCTATTCCTAACCATGCAAAGTATATAATTTAATTGATGATAGTGGATTAATAGTTAATTGTTGCGGATATATTGAAGAGGAGTTGGTTGGCGTGTTCAGTCGCAAGTAGAAAAGTTTAAATAAATCAATTATATTTATTTTTGCTGACGTTTCAGACCTTCATCAAGACTGAATCCTGGGCCTAAACCTCAGCAAAGACTAAAGTTAATATAATTTATATATTTACATTGTTACTTGTGCCTGAACAGCCTAATTAACTCCTCTTCAATAAATTTAATTTACATAAAATAAGTCAAGAAGTATAAAAATAAAATTACATCTAAAGAGTATTTATTTCTTTAATTAAAAAAAATCAAACAAACAAAATTTATAAAACAGAAAATATATTTATAACTATACATATAATATTTTTATTTACAATTATGCTTCATCTTCAACTGGTTCTTCTTTGACTTTCTTCTTTTTTTTCTTTTTAGAACTGCTGACCTCAACATCTTCCGCCATTTCTACCTCTTCAGTTTCTGCAACGAGTTCTTCTTTAATTTTCTTCTTTTTCTTTTTGGAACTGCTGGATGGTGTATCGTCTACCTGTTGTGTTACTTCACTTTCCTCCATAGGTTCTTCTTTTACCTTCCTCTTTTTCTTGGGAGGGCTTTCTGTTAAAACACGATAAAAATTAATTCACTTGATATACTAACTACTGTAAGAACAGCTAGAACAAAGGAACTGCTATTATAACAGTAACTAATAATCCATTAATTAACAACATACCTTCACTTTCAGCTTTGATCTCAACAGGCGTTATATCTTCTATCAATGGCTTACTTTCTTTTTTCCTTTTACCTAGAGTGGAATCTGAATGGGCAGAGTACTCCATTATTTCACTGAAAATAAAAAAAAAAAATTAAAAAAGAAATACAATGTTATTTACACCAATATAATAATGTAAATATTAATATTTCCAATAGGGAGGGTATTAAAACTATATATTTTTTTTGACATACATTAATATCATGCAGAGAGAGAGATAATTGAACCAAAATATGCGATATAATTGAACCCTTATTGAACAACCCAAAAATAAGCATACAACTTACATTTTTGTGAAATTATGTTTTAAAAGCAGTATCGATAATTTATGAAAAAAAAAAATCAATAATTTTGTTAATTCAAGTTATTTGACTTTCAATAATTATTATACCTCTTCCCATGATATTTCTCGAACTTCGCTTTGGTCTTGGCAGTGCCCGACAGCCTCCTTAAGTTTCCTTCTTCTAATGATTTTAGATGTCGTTCTATTTTAGCCCTAATTTCTAATCCAAGATCTGTGTTCCCACTAACATCATCTCCTAAAGCATCTACACGAGAGGCTAATGAAGCTTTTGCCGCCAATGTACGTGAAATCTAAAAAGTCATAATCATTCCATTATTTATATAAAAATTATTTAACAAAAAAAAAAAAATTTGCATTAATATGATACAACACATAAGAGATTACTAAAATAATTAAATTCTTATAACAATTACCTTTCCTCTATTCTTGATACTGGCCCCAGCTACAATGTTAGAAGTATAGATAAGACCATATTTAGGAGTATTCTTCTGAGTTTTCAGCGCTCTAAATAATGCTTTTTCTGCTCCAGCAATCTGTAGAGTGGATGCAGGCTGCTTAGCTAAATTGACTAGTGAACCTATAAAAAGAAATATTCATTATAACAAAGCAAGTTTAAATCAAATACATTCAGATAAGTAATTGTATCACTGACTAATGATACTACAATCACATTGTATGAGGAGAACTTTCACACAATAGCATTATAAAAAACAAAATAATTTTTTTACATACCACTATGTGCTATAAGCCTAGCTCCAATAACTTCACCAAGTAACACAGATAAATTCGGTGCAACGGCAAACATTCGAGATTTCAAATACTCAGCCAGCTGAGTTCTGTATTGTGTCATTTCTATTACCTACAAAAATAAATAAATAAATTTATATCACTAATTGAACATTATATACAATTAAAAAAACATAAGCATAAAACAAAATAAAAAAATAAGTACCTGCTCACAAAGTGCCTGTATGTTCATAATATCATCTTCTGATATTTCTGTCCCCATAGAGATTTCAGCAGCTTCTTTGACCTGTTGTTCTATTTCTTCCGTTAATATATCTGAGAGATCGGTAGAAATAACATTTTCTCTAGTACCTAATCAAGAAATACAATCTTAGTATTAATTTAAGAACACAAGCAATAAATGCAAAATACTCCTATAAATATAAAAAACAAATGGTTTATTCTTATTTAAATTAAAAAACTAACTTATTTCTTAAGTATTCTGTTTGGTCTAATTAATATTTGTGATATAAATTGAAGACTAATACTTCTTATTAGTACATTTTATGTATTTTGTTTGGTGATTGTTAAGGCAAAAAGTAACCAAAACAATGCATAAACAAAAATGTTAATATATGAGTTCTTTAGCACTGCTTGGAGATCAGTTCACCAAGCAGCGACTCTTAAGACTCAAACAAGTTTTTTTTTACTCAATAAAAACAACTGATAACTACCACTTCTGATATTAAAGACTAAAACTTTTTATCAGCATATTATATGTATTTTGTTTGGTGATTGTTAAGGCAAAAAGTAACCAAAACAATGCATAAACAAAAATGTTAATATATGAGTTCTTTAGCACTGCCTAGAGATCAGTTCACTAGACAGCGACTCTTAAGACTCAAAAACAAATTTCTTTAGTCCCAATAAAATCGATTAATCATTATCATTTTCAACATAAAGTCCAAAACTTGCAATGAAAACATTTCATGTATTTTGTTTTGTGATTGTAGTGGCAGAAAATAACCAAAACAATGCATAAACAAAATTTTTATTATATGAGTTCTTTAGCACTGCCTAGAGATCAGTTCGCTAGGCAGCGACTCTTAAGACTCAAAAACAATTTTTTTTCCCCCAATAAAATCGATTAATCATTACTATTTTCAACATAAAAATAAATCCAAAACTAGCAATGAAAACATTTCATGTATTTTGTTTTGTGATTGTAATGGCAGAAAATAACCAAAACAATGCATAAACAAAAATGTTAATATATGAGTTCTTTAGCACTGCTTGGAGATCAGTTCACCAAGCAGCGACTCTTAAGACTCAAACAAGTTTTTTTTTTACTCAATAAAAACAACTGATAACTACCACTTCTGATATTAAAGACTAAAACTTTTATCAGCATATTATATGTATTTTGTTTGGTGATTGTTAAGGCAAAAAGTAACCAAAACAATGCATAAACAAAAATGTTAATATATGAGTTCTTTAGCACTGCCTAGAGATCAGTTCACTAGACAGCGACTCTTAAGACTCAAAAACAAATTTCTTTAGTCCCAATAAAATCGATTAATCATTATCATTTTCAACATAAAGTCCAAAACTTGCAATGAAAACATTTCATGTATTTTGTTTTGTGATTGTAGTGGCAGAAAATAACCAAAACAATGCATAAACAAAAAATTTGTTATATGAGTTCTTTAGCACTGCCTAGAGATCAGTTCGCTAGGCAGCGACTCTTAAGACTCAAAAACAATTTTTTTTTCCCCAATAAAATCGATTAATCATTACTATTTTCAACATAAAAATAAATCCAAAACTAGCAATGAAAACATTTCATGTATTTTGTTTTGTGATTGTAATGGCAGAAAATAACCAAAACAATGCATAAACAAAAATTTTATTATATGAGTTCTTTAGCACTGCCTAGAGATCAGTTCGCTAGGCAGCGACTCTTAAGACTCAAGTCATACTATGAAGAAGTATAACAAAGTTGTAAAACACGTCCAGAATGATAATGCGGTGTATTATATATTTCCAGTTGGTCTTGCTCAAAATGTTCTACATAAGTTTTCATGGAAATCTTTATTTTGATTAACCAATACTCACTACCAACAATGAGAGATGGTTAATAATTTCAAATAAACAAAATTAAAGATACTTTAGAAAAAGAAATTCTAAGGATTCAGCAATTAAGCCTTGCCAGACTATTTCAATAAGATTAATACCTAATTGCGATTTAAGACTACTCAAATTCACAGTGAATTTGCCCAGTTTTATCAAAATTATTAAAAGGTATAAAATTCTCTACTTATTGATAGTTAGAAAACTAAAAATTAATACATTTCATGTATTTTGTTTGGTGATTGTTAAAGTAATCAAAACAATGCATAAACAAAAATTTTAATATGAGTTCTTTAGCACTACCTGGAGATCAGTTCACTTGGTAGCGACTCAATTGGTAAGACTCAATTTTTTTTTTTTTTTTTTATTTAGGGCTCAGTAAAATCAATCGATCACTACTATTCTCTGTATAATGATTAGGTCCAAAACTTGCAATTATCACATTCTATGTATTTTGTTTGGTGATTGTAGTGGCAGAAAATAACCAATGCAATGCATAAACAAAAATGTTATTATACGAGTTCTTTAGCACTGTCTGGAGATTAATTCACTAGGCAGCGACTCTTAAGACTCAAAAAAAAAAGGAGTTTCCTTTTGTTATAGAACCAGTAAAATAAATCCACTACTACTATTTTCCATATAATGCTTAGGTCCGAAAATTGTAATCATCACATTGTATGTTGTATTTTGTTTGGTGATTGTAATGGCAGAAAATAACCAATGCAATGCATAAACAAAAATGTTATTATGCGAGTTCTTCAGCACTGTCTGGAGATTAATTCACTAGGCAGCGACTCTTAAGACTCGAAACAAAGGAGTTTCCTTTTGTTATAGACCCAGTAAAATAAATCCACTACTACTATTCTCCATATAATGCTTAGGTCCAAAAATTGTAATCATCACATTGTACGTTGTATTTTGTTTGGTGATTGTAATGGCAGAAAATAACCAATGCAGCGCATACAATTTTTTTTTTCTAATTGAAAACAATTGGAAAATTACTTTAACATGTATATATTTATAGCTCTATTATTTTAACAAACAAGCAGGCTTACAACTATTATTTATACTCAAACAATTAAAACTTACCAACTAATTTGACGATTTTCACAAATGCAAGATTGTCTGTTATAATCTTGCCAAGTTCGGGAAAATGCCATCCGTACCATTCTCTGCATCTCATTATATAATTGTTTAACTCCTTATCAAGGTCATCAAGCAAACCAATTGCCTGCACGATCATCACATCCACCTTGTCAGGAGAAAACTTGAGCTTGTAACGAGACAGGCTGAAAAAATTAGACAACTTTAAGATTTGCAATATTATAATCTAAATAAATGACAGAAAATAACTATTTTAAAACAGTATTACACTTTTTTATAAGTTCTTAAAAAGTAAACTAAAATATGTTAAGCTTATATAACTCTAATAAATAGAAATTTAATCTTGCATCACAAAACCAAAAATAACTTTTTTAATGCTATCCTTAATGAGAACTATTCCAAGATTATCTAGTTAATAAATGGAAATTCACATAAGAGCTTTATATTTTTCTAGCACAAGAGGAAGTCAATAGTTCTATTTACCAAAACCTATGGATGGGCGATAGGCGATAGTTTTCCACTATTGATGAAAAACTATTAATAGTTTAGTAAAACTCTCCACCACAGACTAAAGAAAAATTTATTTATGTTGCATTCTTTAGTTATTAGCTTTGTTAAATTGCCATATAACTGTCAACTTTCTCAAAGCAGGAAAAATTAAAGTATAAATTTAAGAGGTTATTATAATAAAGACAAAACTTGAGTGTTTTAATTTTAGATTAATTTTTTAGACCAACTACATACTTAATTGAACTTACAGTTAAATGATGAAATATTTAAAATATGTAGCAGTATAATGAATTAATCTTTCAATGTAAAAGAATTATATATTAAAAAACATTCTAGAAAATGGGTGATTAACACCATAATTATACTACCTGAACTTCAATATGATAAAACTTTGAAAGATATTTAACTGAATAACGTTAAATTATTCATTACATGTGAGAATATTTTAAAATGATTATTTAAAGTAATAATTAAGGAAAAACTATCATGTACAAGCTTATTACCTGTGAGCAAGACCTAAGGCCATTGCTGTGAACTCCTTCTTTGGAAGACCTGAGAGTAAGCTTTCAGTCTGAGACCTTATACATCTCATCAGCTCTTGGACAGGAGAACTGGAGACGACAGGGACATCAAATTTATCTTTAACAGCATTTCCAAGTTTAGCATCAGCAATAAGAATTTGTTCTTGAGCTTCTTTGAATACTTTTTTTAGGGCCTGAAATTAATAAGAACAAGAATAACAAATCAGATAAACCTATGAAAAAGACCGTATCGACAGTATAAATACAAAACCTCACATGTTCTATTTTTATTAAAACAAAATTTTGGCATTTCCGGAAGTAAATTTAGGTTAGCAGCATTAATGCTCAATTATAGCCTATCGTTGTAAAACACTATCTTGCACACCAGGGTACTTAAATATTAACATATTTCTTACTTATACAGTAAACAATTAGGTGTACAATTAGAAAGAAAACGAGCAGAACACAAGGTGTTTACTGCACAGAAACTGTTCCTAAATAAATAGATAATTCAAATAATACACAGAAAAAAAAAAAAAAGAAGAAGACATAATTGTTATCAATTTTTAAGTTTCATGTGATGATTTTTATAATTATTTACCAAATGTTTTGATAGGATATTATGAAAATGTTAATACTATCTTTTTATTTGTTATATAAACTAGGGTATTATTCACCAACATTTGATTTATTAGTCATTTTATTACTACGTTTCGAGCATCACTAGGGCAATTTTTAAGTCTTAATGAGTCCTCCATTAGATATTCATTATTAATGTCATATTAATTTGTTCAGTAAAAAATTAAATTGACATTAATAATGAATATCTAACGGAGGACTCATTAAGACTTGAAAATAGCCCTAGTGATGCTCGAAATGTAGAAATAAAATAACTAATAAATAAAATGTTGGTGAATAATAGCCTAGTTTATATAACAAATAAAAAGATAGTATTAACATTTTCATAATATCTTATCAAAACATTTGGTAAATAATTATAAAAATCATCACAGAATCCAAAACATTGACCTACAAATCCTGAAACCATTGTTTGGTAGAGGTCGCAATATGAATCCTGCTGAAAAATAATTTATCCTTCCAACATTGTAATAAACCGCAAAACAAACTGTTCTAAAACACTTTGATAATTAACAGCATTCATTTTGCTGGAAATAAGATTTTCCTTGTTTAATTAAAATCATCCCATAACATTACTCCGACACACCAATGCCATGTTCGGGACAAATTGTTTTTCTATTTTAAGATCATACCAGTAGTAATTAACACCATCTGAACCATGAATGTTAAATTTTTTTTTCATCACTGGAAATAACGTTTGACCATTTTTTCTTGAAAGTCTTTTAAAAAAACTGCAGTCGTCGCTGCAAATGATGTTCTTTTGATCTGTGATTTACTCATAACCTAAAAATATTTCAATTACTTTGATTCAGCTATCTACTTCCCCACCAAGCTAGCATCACATTATATATTGAATCTCCTAACAATCGGGGATTAGAATGTTTCTGTTTTAGAGAAAAAAATCACCCGTTTCAAATTATAGACAAATTTAGGAGGACTTCCACTTCTTTCCTTTTTCCTCGTAATTGTATAGGCTGCAATTTTAAAACTATTTGACAACTCCCAAGGAGTGGTTTAGCTCATGAGCAATTTGCCACTGGGTCATCCCATCTCTTCTTAGGTCTATTATTCTTTGCTGCTCATTTTCAGTAATTTGAGTTCCAAGGAGTATTTTTTAAAAACAAAAAGATTAATTCTCACATAGCGATACAGTATAAAAACGAAATGATACTGTCTCTTTAACAGTAGAAAGAAAACAGAGGTGGTATAATCCACTAGTGCACCTGACAATTGAAAACAAACCTTGTGTTATACTTATTCACAGCATAAACAAGATTTGTTTACATATTCCGATATTCTTAATTTATCAAACAGATCAATGGGCATTTATAGCTTCATAACAATCTAATAACACAAAAACAAGTCTAAAAATATTATTCTGCCATGAATTAACTTTAGAGTTTTATAAATACATTAATTTAATGAGCTGAGTTAATATTTTTTCACAGGACTGTAGAAATAAATAACAAAAAGAATATTTTGAAGGCAAAATCAACTGATATAGAAACCTATTATTAAATAAATAAAATATTCATAATAGAAAATTGATAAACACAACACCATAAATGTACAGTACTTGATTGTTGAGCAATAATGTCTGCTAAAGTAACTTATGTTAGTGTTCATACATTAATATAAGAAATTGACTAAGGCATGCCAATTCTCTGACTGCACTCAAAAATTATTTCCTAATTTCAGTAATTGATTAGTTCTCATAATGATAAATTTGAAATTTTTAATCCGGATTATATAAATTACAAGCCTTAGAATTTTCTTTACAGTGTTGATATTCAAATTTGAAGTTAATTTATACAAGCATAAGAATGTTTTAATATAAACTGATAGCTAACTTAGTTTATACCTTTTTAAGAGTTTTGCCAATTTTCCCTTCAATAGCTGCAGTAGTAGAGGCTAATGCTTCTGTTGTGTCAAAAAACTTTTCGAAATGCTTTAATTTCAAACTAAAATATAACAAACATACATATATAAGATTAAAAAGGAACTATTGAAGTAGCTGGGCAAATGTGATACAACGCTAAATAATAACATTTATCTTACATTTGATTGGCTCCTTCTGGTGTCTCAAAATCCTTATAAAGATCATCTGTCTTAGAAAGCTTTTTCTCATCCAGCAGCTAGAAAATTGCACATTTAACAGAGTTAAACACATATTGTAAACAACACAATGCGCCCATGCGGTTAGCACATTCACTATTTTTTAAAACCTTAACACTTACCTTAAAAATGGCATATCCGCCAGGTGTCTCAAAAAGAACAAGCATGATGAAGTAATCAGTTAAACTTAATATAAAATACTATGCTCTAACCATACTAAAACGAAAACAACTATGACCACGAGGACATGAAACCACGAGGGGTGGCCGGTGATTGAACTGAAGCGCGTGGCTACGGACCAGGAGGTTGTAAAATAATGGTGAACTGCAGCGCTCTCTGTAGTCAGTTTATGAAAATATAAACGATCAAAGAGAAATTTTGGAATATCTCAAAATTGAGCTCAAGGATAAGGTTTTCTATTAACAACTACTTTCCCACAAGATTCCTAATCAAAATATTTTTTAAATGTTTGTGCTTTAATAGGTATGTTCATATTTATGATTATTATTTAGAGGCCATACTAAAGAAGCACGGGGTGGGGGCCTGTGAAGGTGGGGTTTATTGTTTGAAATATTTCATATATGCATAAATACAATATAGAATATATGCCTACATGAAAAAATAATATCTCAGGTAGATATCGAGTTGTTTCAAGCCCTTTCTGACTGCAAATGAGTGTGAAGTCACACAAAATACTTTAAACTAAAACAGTTTTTAAAATAGTAAATAGTATTTTAATAGATGCTTCCTTTTTTTTACTGTTTAGGTGGGTTTATGAATCCAAAATAGGACACCGTTGAACCTATTTTACTACATCTTCTTTACTTTATATATACAGTCAGTGTAAAACATATTGGGAAATGTAATTGAAAAAATGGTACTACTATAAATTTACACTTTGTTTAATTTTCAATAACAAAAATCTAATTAAAAAATTTATTGACAATTTAAATTTAATGGTTGACACAATTTAGCAACACGATAACTACATTGTTTAAATAAATTATTTGAAAAATTCATATAGATTATAAACATAAGTACTGGGACACATGAAAAATCATTCACTAAAATCTAAAAAATTAAAAATCATCCTTTATTTGTTTAAATTAATATTTTGTCGGATACCTTTTGTCTTCTATTACGCTCCAAATTCGCCTTGGCATTGATTCTAATAAATTCAAAGTGAACGATGGCTCAATTTTTCCCACTCTTTCTTAATCCCATGTTTGAGATCGGGTTTGTTATTAATAGTTCTTGTTCTTAATTTTCGTTCTAAAAAATCCCGTAAATGCTCAATGGGATTAAGATCGGGTGTCTAGGGTGAAGTTTCAAGGCTTTTTGCGCTTTGTGCAGCAGCCAGAATCGAGTATTGAGAGCTTTATGTTTGGAGTCATTATCTTGATAAAAGGCAAATAAGTCAAAAATCCCTAAGTTTTCAACAGATGGTTTTAAATATTGTTTTAAAATTTGCACATACTGTTTGTAGTCCACATTCCCTTCGACAAACTCTAATCTCCCAACACTGGCAGCATTCATACATCCCCACACCATCACTGACCCACTTCCATGTTTGACAGTTGGAAATAAATGTTTTTTCTCTAAATCAGAATTCTTTTTCCTCCAAATTTTCCCTTTTACATCCATGCCGAATACATTATACTTACTCTCATACGTGAAAAGGATGCTATTCCAAAATGTTTGTGGTTAATTTTTGTTGTCATTTGCAAATTGTAATTTTTTTTTCTATTCTGTTCACTGACGAAAAACATTTTCCTTGCCACACGACCACAAGATCCGTATTTCTCAGAATATTTCTGACAGAACTTACAGATTTAATTTTCTCCTTATTTAGATTATATTATGCGGCTAGCTTTGGAGTTGAATAACGTGGGTTTTTAGCGACTTATCTATCAATTGATCTTCTATCCTATTCAGAAAATATTTTTGGCCTATCACTTCTTTATTTATTCTTAAAATGTTTGGTTATTCCATATCTGTCTATTATATTCCAGTCATTCTTGAAATTCCAATGCTTGCAGATATTTCTCTCATAGATTTGCCCTGGTTGTGGAGGCGGAAAACAATTTTTCATTCTTCCACACTTGATTCTTTCACTTTTCATCCCGTTTTGATCACTATAGTGAAGTTTACAATTGATTGAACAGCAAATGATTGAAATATTCTTCAACGCGAACACGAGAAAAACTATGAAGAATGAGAAAAAGGGATTAGTGAAGTAAATAATAACAAAAGGACTAAAAATAAACTATATGTGTCTTAATACTTTTCGCTAGTTATTGTATACAATACTGTCCATTGATTATTTCCAGTCAGTGTACTTTTCGGAACTTTAAAACAGGAATAATAAAATTCTATCCTTACAGTACGCAGACAGGAAATATGCCTTTGGATTTTAAGAAAAAAAAAGTTTTGATACTTAGATTGGACTAGGTGTCCCATTGCTTTTTACACTCAATGTATATATATATATATATATATATATATATATATATATATATATATATATATATATATATATATATATAAATAGGTTTGGAAAACGAAACCTTTACAACCAAAAAATCCGCTTACCTTCTTTATCTGTTTACTCCTTGTTCCTCGGTCAATTTGTTCAACAGGAGGTCCTAACACACAAACCTTCTTATTCCTTCTCATAAAACTGTTTCCTTCAAAAAATCCTTTCTCATAGTGCTACCTTGTTCTGGAGTATATATTTAATATGTATAAAATTGGCAACAGTGGATCTAATACAGACCTGGGAAAACGATTTTAAATTGCAGTATTTAAAATACCAAGTATTTTGTGTTTTTAAAATATCTATCTATCTATATTGGCTCAACAACCCCCTTTGCGAGTCATGACCTCCGCCAGGTGTCCCTGCTTTGTGCTGCAGGGTTTCAGCCTCGAACTTCTAGCTTCCTGGCATCTTTGTCCATGCTGTCTCTCCAGCTTAACTCTGGTCTTCCTACTCGTCGCGCTCCATGTAGGATTTCAACCAACACCTTTTTTGGGATCATGTCGTCTCTCATTCTGGCCACATGACCTACCCATCTGAGACGGCCTGTTCTTATAGACTTGAAATATTGGCCTAGCTGGTAGATCTCCTGATTTTTCCTCCTTCTCCACTCTCCATTCACACGCACTGGACCATGAATTTTTCGTTCAAGTATTAGGAGGTCCTGCTCGGCTGCCTTGGTTATCGTCCAGGTATTTGACGATATTTACTTTATTATTATTTACTTTGCTACGCTCAGTCACCAGGATGCTTTTCATGTGTTGACTCATACCATAATAGCAACGGTTGGCCAGCAAACTCCTCTTATTTATCTCTATACCCATCCGGCTATCAACAGTAATCTGTGAGCCCAGATATGTGAATTCTGATACCTGTTCAAACCTGAAGGGTCCAAAACTCACCCTAGTGACATGTCCTAGGGGTCTCCTGGGTTACCAAGTATTAAGTTTTCTCCTCGTTGACAGTCAGGAGGCCGACTTTCCTCGCTGCAGCCTCCAGATCCAGAAATGATTTGATTGTGCAATCACTTGCCGAGAATGCCCAATAACGTCGACAAAAGCGAGGAGCTGACCAGTCCTATTGAAGATCGTGCCAGACGTTTGTATTTGGGACTCAAGAACTGCTTTTTCTATGGCCAAGAGAAAAAGAAAGCATGCCAGGGCATCATCCGGTTTTACACCAATTCTCGTAGAAAACATCTTATTCTCACATATATTCAGAAGATTGATTGCTGAGCTGATGACGATTTGCTTATGGGGAGATAAGGAATTCCGAAACTATGTAGCTCGTATGAGAAAGCATTTTTTTAAAGGAAACAGTTCTATGAGAAGGAATAAACAGGTTTGTGGGCTGAGATTTCGTGTTGAAAGAATGGACAGAAAAGCAAGAAGTAAGCAAATAAAGATGGAAAGAATGTTTTTTTTTTATTACAAAGGTTCGAGAAACGAATATGCTTAGGAAATATCACCGTCGGAAAACTGGACAGAGCCACTTCAACTCGAATTATTAGCTGGAGACATGGGGCCGCCTGGGGACTCCAAGATGAATCAAATGAAACCATTCATTAGTATCTTCAATTTAATCTCTAGCTCACCAGACAGTTCACCATATACAAGGCAGCCGTAATATATATAAGAGGTAAAATGAAATAGCCAACTAGGAGCTGGACGGTTTTTAGGGAAATAGAAACACGGAATCTCAGAAAGTATTTTAGGGTAGCAATAGATTTTTGAAATATAATGATTACCGTAGAGGAATTGATCAAAATTGCTCCAATATTTCAACGTTCAACTTCAAATTATTGCTCGCTGTTCAAGCGTTAATACTGCCTATGTATATTTTCTTGTAGCCTTCGGATCGCCTCAAACATCTCGGTAGGATGAAAGGAAAGGTAGATGTGCTCAGAATATAAGTGATATTATGAATGATGGATAAAATCAGGAATTCATTTCCATCCTATTTATTAGTTATCCTATTTGTTATTATTAGTTCAGAAGAAATTATTAATTTCCCGTTGTTTTTTCATTCTTAGACTCTACAATCCGCTAACTCACTATATTGACTTGGTATAGTGACTCGTTACGGCCTCCTGTATCAGCCTATGCTTGGTATCACGGTCTTGTGCAGCCGCCTTCCAGGTTTAAGTTGCAAGAAGAGACCTTACATCGTGGGCCACACTATCCTGCCATATAAGCAGTGGCCGCCCACATCCAGTTCTATGGAGTATCTCGGTTAGGATCTTCTTTGGAATTACTGAATCAAAATATCTATCAGCGTCAATGATCCAACTATTTACTTTGGTAGTGATATCGTTGCCGGAACTCACATTTGTTTTTGGTGCATGAACTCATTCACTTCCTCAAATGGGAATTTGCAGAATATAAATCTTTGCTGAGGTTCTGCTCACTGGCCAGTTACCAAATACTTGGTTTTGCCTGCATTCGCGATTAATCCTAAGTTTCATATATTGGATTCGGACTCAAGGAAGGGTTCTATACAGTTACTTCTTACTTGCTAACTATAGTACATTAATGTGCATATTCTAAGCGAACCCCAGAATTTGTACTATTCCGTTCATGTTGTGGAGATAGTGTATGTATTTGAACTTCTGACAGCCTTCCCCATTAGAGATTAAATAGAAGGCAGACCAATACATTTCTCTGTGTAGCACCGATTGTCACAGAAAATTTCTTCAAATACTCTGCCTGAATCCACACTTTATTTCTACTTCCATTCATCGTCATCCGGCATAGTCTTTTAAGTTTACTGGGCACGTTGCGTTCCTTCATCACTTGTATTGATGCTCTCTATCTTTTCTATCATATGCATAATTGAAGTCAATTTTTTATTATTTATTTATAATCCTTCCCATCGTTTTAGGCAATACGTGTGTTTGTACTAATCAATAAACAAGTTATGGGTTTGCAGCTTTCCTTTTTCAAGCATTTTTCTTTCTACAGTACGAAAATTTGGTCAATCGTTAACTTCTCTTTCTGGAATCTACATTGGTACTTTTTTGTTTCTAAATTACACATTATTTGATGCCTTTAGCACATAAAGTAGAAAGTATTTATAGTAACAGAAATTGAACAAAACATTGCAGTTATCCCGCCATAGCTCTTTGGTAACTTGTTTTGTAACCTTATTGTAGTTGTCACATCCAAATATTATGTCATTGTGAATAGGGAAATATTTAATATATTGATAAAAAATGGCAGGGTCAGCATTGAGAAGATTGATGGCAGAATACAAACGTAAGAATCTTTTACGTGACATGTTTATTCATCATTCATTCATTATCCTACTATACCTGAAATAACTTAAACTTATTTCTGCAGAACTTACTATCAATCCTCCTGAAGGTATAATTGCTGGACCAGTCAATGAAGAAAATTTTTTTGAATGGGAGGCTCTAATAACGTAAGTCATTATCATCCATATATTGTTAATTTTACATTAGTAGAATGTTTACTTTTTCTATTTAAATTAAACTTTTATTAGCGGACCTGAAGGAACCTGTTTTGAGGGTGGAATTTTCCCAACAAAATTAGTTTTCCCTCCTGACTATCCTTTGAGCCCTCCAAAGATGCAGTTTATGTGTGAGATGTTCCATCCTAACAGTAAGTAACTCTAATAGAAATGTTCATTTGCTCATAGTTATGTTAGTGATTATAATACATAACGAAGCCTCTATTATTTATGATGGCTCTTGTGACAACATTATTTTTTTTTTTCATGAAACTTATAAACTCTGATCTTCAGTTTAATAACATCTCTCTGAAAATACTATTAACTTTTATTTTCAGACTGTATTTTCACAGAGGTGATTGATAATTGTAGTGATATTTTGACTTTAAATTCAATTTAGGCTGAATCTTTCTTGCTATGAATGGTCTTTAAATAAAAATGATAAAATATAAACAGAAACTTAAAGTGATTAAAGTTGACGAAGGATGGTGAAAATTAATAAAAAAAGTCTAAAAACATGGAGTAACAAGTCCGTTACCTATATACTTAATTCTTTCTATTATATATGTTCTACATTGAGGAGAATTTAAAAAAAATAATATTATCCTCTTATTACAAGATTATTTACTGAAGATTGAAATCAGAGCTGGGTGCGTCTTATATCTGAATCTGTGGAATAACTATCTGGGTTTAAATAAAGATCCATGAAATATACTATTTTTATGGAAAATATATGCATAGTTTATTTATTATAATGTTATGATTCATTTCTGAAGACTGAGATAAAACAAACAAATTTTAAACATTAAAATACATTAGATTCTTGATTTTAGTGAATTCTCAATCAATCAATTTTTAACTATTGATTTATTTTTAGTTTATGCTGATGGGCGTGTTTGTATTTCAATATTACATGCTCCAGGAGATGATCCAATGGGCTATGAATCTAGTGCAGAAAGATGGAGTCCTGTACAGAGTGTAGAAAAGATATTGCTGTCTGTTGTCAGCATGTTAGCAGGTAATGTATCTTTGTTTTGTATTTTGTAGCTGAGCAACCTGTCTCTTAAGTGACAATTTGATGGTTCTAAAGTTTAAGACCACTTTAAAGATTGAATTAATAAATAACAGACAGTTTCGGTACTCTTATAACATTCTTTAACAAAATTAAACCTATTAAAATTAAACAACAACAAAAATTTGTTTATTCATTCAAATTTTCTATATGCCAACACTTTTGAATAAGTGATATAGGGAGGATCTTTGGTTGTAGCTTACTTAGTTATCTTATTGAGTTTTTCAAAACTTTTTAAAGGTGACATTTATTTTACTATGCAGTCTATCTGTTATATAAATAATGTAATTAATGTCATGCATTTAATCCAGGTATATCTGGAAGGTTTTAGGTTTATCTTTAAATTTATGTTCTGAAACCTGAAACAATGGTTTCTTAACATATATTTTGCAAATCTAAAATTGCTGATATGGAAACATTTTCTGTCCGATATAGTTTTTTGACAGTACTCAAATTTGATGAAATGTTTCTGTTTGTTATACATTTGCATACTGCTACTGAGAGAGCATTTAACTCTGGCATTAATCCTCTGACCTCTTCCCTGGCCTAGGAAAATCTCCTTATAGCCTAAAAGACCAGGAGGGGGAGACAAAAAAAAGAAGAAAAAAAAAGCTCATTCATACTGTGACCTTTGTGAGCAAGAATTTCCTAAGCACTATGGATATTACCTTTCCTAAAAAAGATAGTTGGAAAGGTTGAGTTTACCGTTAAAATGAAAAAAGACAAAGATAATAATAAGGAACTAAAAGGTCGAAACATCAATACAAATATAAAAACTAATCAAAACAGGACCAGAAATAAAAGAAATATCTAGTCACAAACTATTTTAAATTAGATGACATAAATAGAAAACACTTAATTAATAAATTAATAAATTAGGAAAATTATACAGTAGAACTAAAGATATCATTCCTAAGAAAAAATTGACTAATATTATATATAAAATACAATGCTAGTGAAAATAAAGCATATTACGGACAAACCTCTCAATGGTTTGAATGGAGGATACAATAACATGAACAGAATTGCAAGTCTAAAACGACAAAATCAAAATTAGCTACAGGACAACTGATCTCTAACCCCTCCACCGCACTCCTAAAACAAAATAAATCCAGTCTTGTATGAATGTGTTAGTGATGAAGAACAAATTTAATATCTTCTACGAAAGAGGTACATAAATTGAGATCAAATAATATTCTTTTTTTTTTTTCTTAAAAATTTTAACATTCTATTTTAATTATTTATTTATAATTTTTAGAAGTAAAAAAATGACATTTGATGAAATAAAAGAATGACAAACTGACGAATTATATTATAATGATAGATTTTAAGAAATTTTATGAAACGGTGCATGTTAGGTAGATAATAAATTAGATAAAACATTAATTCATACCAAAATGTTATGTTATAAACAAAATTTCAAAAATATAATTTATACTACATATCTATTTGAGTGTTATAAAAATAATATGTGTTTTATAATGATATAGTTTAAAGTATAACAACTAAATTAAAATTATAATTGTGGGTAAATGGTCGACTATCGTGAATAATGAAGAGAAGAATAGTTGGGGTGATAAGTCAAATAAGAAGGCAAAAATAAATGATAATATTTATTTTGACATTTGCCGACGTTTTCAACCTGAAGTTCAGGCCTTCATTAATTAGTTTGCAGGATCTTGAAAATGGCACCTTAAGCCGAAATGTAAAATAAATAGTAGATGATGTGATAACGTGTATAACTTTGGCCTAATATTTTTTTAAAAAACTCAAAAAGGTTTTTTTTTTTAAATTTTCATCAAGGGTGAAGTCTTTCGATTTTTTTTTTTTGAAAATCACAAAAATTGGAATAACTTTAACTTGAATTCATGTATCAATACAAAAATTAGCAAGGACTTAGAACCCTGTATACTATACAAAGTGGAACAAACCAACTAGCCTTACAAAGTTAGTGTAAAAGGTCACGTAGGATAAATGCACCAGTAGCTGACATGCTTAAGGAAATTTCTTTGAACTTTTTAAGTTTAAAGTAGCCTTTTAACGTGCCATCTTTGCATTATATTTATGTAATCTCTAAGGTATGTAAACCTAAGGTATAGTACTCTTACCGACAGTTGGTTATTCCTAGGACACTAAGTGGACCGTGAGGGACCTTCCTAATTTGCCACTCATTATTTGGGTGGAAATTTCTGGTAAGACTAAAGCAAAGCAGACAAATTAACCAACAGAAAATATAGAAACTAAAAATATATGAAATAGAGGTCTAGGAGGTCCTGAAATTTTATTATTCCCATTTTTCAAGAGGATATCAGGTATTGGCACAGTGTCGGCTATTGATGCTTTTATCGTATGTAACAATTTTCCATTTTTATTCTATTGGTGCTTAAAGTGACATTTTGCAGTATGCGACTGCTATAGGTAACCTGGTACTATGGTAAATAGCAGAGAAAAATTATACTAATAAATCATAAAGAAATAATTAGTTTTTATGCACTCCTATAAAAAAAAACCTCTCAATTTTCACATACAGCTTTTTGCACTAACAGTAGTGATTTACATCTTCAGTATGTCTGGGATTTGGTTTTGTTAATGACGATTCATCAGTTATGCGATTTGCAAAATGTAGAATTCTTTCGCATTTTAGTATTCGCTGATGAACAAAATTGGTGGATATCAAACTCGCGAATCTTAAGGAATTAATATCTGATTATATTTCCATCTTTGGCTTCTCCCAGAGATTTTATTTTCCTACAAAAAATTATAGACTTTGAAATAGAGATATTGTTCAGCCAATGGGGAGGAAGCTATACTGGCCTTACTTGGCAGACGTTTTTTTCTTTCTTTACACCCACAAAAAAACAATTGATATATTATAACATAGAAATCCATGCACAGCAAAGACAGAAAACAATAATATAAAAATATGTTAAAATTTTATAATATATTTGTTTTCTTGGCTTCTAGGGTGCATTGGCAAAAACTCTTGGACATGGGTAAATATTTTTCGACTTAATATCACAAAAAAGAGTTTCATCGAAATCAGCTACCTCATGTCCCTAACCTTCCCTTATTAGATTGAGTTCACTAGAAAGGGAAAATGCGAGATCATATGTGATTTGGTCATGTGATAAGAAAGAAAAAAAAATATATTTGGTAGTATGTTGTATATAAATATATACGCAAAACTTATACAATAGCAGAATGAATGATTTAGTTATGCTATCGTGTGATATAATAAATCTATAATGTGATATATTAAATATAATACCGTATTGATGTATAATACTGACTCATATTGCAAAACATTTTCTATATCAAAAGCTTAAAGTAGCCTTTTAACGTGCCATCTTTGCATTATATTTATATGTAATCTCTGTTTTAAATATGTTATAAGGATTTCTCACTTCAATTTATTCAGTTTACAATTGCTTAGATAAAATTTCTATTCAAAGATTAATCTATTCCAAAATTTTTATTTTGTTCTTTCATTTTTTGTTTTTTTAGAACCAAATGATGAAAGTGGTGCAAATGTTGATGCTGCCAAAATGTGGCGTGAAAATAGAGAAGAGTTCAACAAAATTGCTGAAAGAATAGTTCGAAAAACCCTTGGGATTCCTGCTGTAACACAAGTATAAATAAGTTGTCGAAAATATTTTAATATATTTGTTCTTAATCCATTGTGAAGAGAACCTTGGTTTTGAGGGAATGGTATTCGAACAATGATGAAATGGTTGATTATTTATTATTTTAAAATTTATATAAAATATAATTTAATATATAAAATAAAATTTGTATATATTAATAAGATTATATTTATATACAATACAATCGTATTAATATATAAATCATAAAAATGGAAATTTCTTATTTGATCCTTTATCCTTACAAAGAAATATAAATATATAATATGTCAAATGCCATCATGATGGTAGAAGGATTGAGGGCATGACTGAACTCCACGCATCTTATTTTTTTACAGCCTTTATTTATTTTTGTTTAGCCCATATTGCCACTTTTTTCTTTATGTAACCATTTATTTATTCTCATAAAGCTGAGATGGTCTAGTTATAAATATGAACATTTTGTAAAATTCAGATCAGCTGCATTTGCGTTGATCTCAATCCACTAGAGAAATAGTAAAAATAGTTAAACATTTTGTTCTTATTACTGAGTAATATCTTTTTACTTTCACATACGTATGTATGTAATATATAGTAAGGGTAAGTATTGCGATCGAGAAAATTTTTGAATCTGAGTTTTCAACGGAAATACATGTTTTGGGGTATCCTGAGTCCAAATAACCAAATCCCGAAAAATGGTCTGTGTGTCTGTTAGCAATCTAGCTCAAAAACAAAAAGTTGTATGAGGCTGATATTAATCGGCCTTAAACCTTAAAATCGGCGAACCGGAAGTGCCACTTTATATCAATGCTGAAACACAGTTTCTCAATTTTCTCAAAAGCGGCTCTATCGATTTTAATTAAACTCAGTGTATCATTGTATAATTAAGTAGTCTTTAATATCAATCAGGTCTTATTCCCATTAATGTCACTTTACAGGGCTTAAATACACACTGTTCATATGCGTCTTCCTCTAAAGTATCTTTAATATGGTTTATTTTAAAAAGTTAATCATCTCATATTATTCAGAGTTACGAAAAAATGCTAAATATTAGTTTTGAAAGAATTTGATAATCGAATAAAGGATAAAAAAAAAAAAAATCCTTATCCAGGTCAAAAATGAATCTCCGGAATTACTAGTCAGAAGGTATACATATAATATATCGTTGGAAAGCAGATTATTTTCGAAAAAAACAATATCTAATATAGAAAGTTGTAGAAGGTAAAGGAGAGTGGCGAAAACATTATAAATAATAATTTCAGAAACTAAAATTATTTAATGTAAATCACATGTTTCCAAGAAAATTAAATAAAATTTTCTTACTATATGTAAACTTTTAAATGTTTTTCTAAGATTGAAAAAAAAGTATTCAAAATACACCGATTCAAGCCAATGCCATTGCTTAAAGTACTATTTCATTGTACTTATGTGAAAGTAAATATAAAAATATTTCACGGATATGTTTATAACCTCAAATGTATTTACTATAGACTATTAACTTTAGATAAGATATTATATTTAAATAATTAGGTATCTATCGGCTGTTTATTCCAATAAATCATCAAGTAACCTTTTAAAAAAATTAAATTAGTGAATAATTTGTTGAATTTTCCCTTTGGGAAATCCCAACATCATCCATTTACAATTGTTTTTTTTTTTTAAACTTTTATTATGATATTTACTACTGTATTAGTATGAATACATCAAGTATATGTGTACAGAGGAATATAATAACATGAAACACGCTTGTTGAGAAACTACCCATTGGTAGCACTCTAATAATTTGTCTACATGAGGAGATCACGAGGCCATCTTCTTTTCAGACGCCTCGGAAGGTTATCAGGAATCGAAGAGGAAGCAAGGTTAGAAACAAGAGGATTTGGATGGTTATGAAGTTTATTATTGAAGGATAGGTATCTGGATTCAGCCAAATCGGAAACATATGGAACATTGAGGTCTTTATGGATTATTTTATTTGTGACAAAGTAAGGAGCATTGATGCTTTTATGAAGGATTTTGGATTATAAAGATTGGATACGAGAGAAATTTGATGGTTTAGTGGAGCCCCACAGTTCAACTCCATAAGTCCAAATAGGTCTTATTATAGTCATGTATATGAATCGTTTGTAATTAATGGGACGTTTAGAGCGTTTGTCTAGTAAGTGTTGGAGCAAGCGGAAACGTCGAGCAGTTTCTTGTCGTTTCAGTCTTGTATGAGGATTCCAAGTGAGACGTTTGTCCAGCTGGAGTCCAAGGTATTGGATTTATTCTACAGGGATAATCATTTACAATTATTGTGACAACTTTAGACCTATCCATGGCAGGCAATGAACATCTCATAATTTCATTTTAGTAAACTTTACAATAGAAAATAACAGCTTAATAACTAGTAGTCCTATGATACATAATCATTTATAGGTTAAATATTCTGATATAATTTCAAACCTGTGCAGGCATATATGAGCATTTCGGTTGACAGAATGAGTAATTCCAATTTCAACATTCTTTATTATTAATTTTAGTACCCTAGCCCAATCCCTATCTAGTTCCACTCATCCCTACAACCCTCCTTGAAGGTTGAAGCGGCAGTGGCCCAGAGATCTTTTATAGTATTTATTTTGGAGTTCTGGCAATGGCCAGATTCTCCACTCAAGACATGAGTGTATGTGGCTAAGCGCTCTCACTCAAACTCCACCGGCTTTAACACCGGTGAGGCGGTTGAGAGAGTAGCGCAGGGATTTGGGTTCCCAGCCTGATTGTATATATTGTATATAGGTATGACTGTATTTTTATGTTTTTAATTTACTTATATTTAGGTTATTTTATTTTTTTTATTTATTATTATTTAGTTATTATTTTACTTTTGTTAATTTTTTTTTTTTTTTTGTATATACGGTGTGAATGTGTTCATTTATCAATATAATTATTGTCCCTGTGACAGAATATTATATGACTAAATAAATTAAAAAAAAAAAAAAATTTAGTGATGTTTCTTGTGGCAAAATTTATATCTTTATTCACAATTCTATATTTCAACACTGCAATCACCTACTCTGGAATCAACTTACTGTCTGTATAGATAACTTTTCAACTAGAAATATCACTAAAATGATATTACTCAAAAATGTTGAAATTGGAGTTAGTTGTCAGAATGTAACTGAAAGGCTCAGAGACCAAACTTGTGTGGTTTATAAAAGCAGATGGAGTGACTAGATTTTTATTGCCTACCGTCGATATAATAAATAGAATTTTTGTAATTATAATGGTCTTAATGATTAGTTAGTTGCAAGCTTTAAGCCTTAGCTCCTCATAATTTTAGTTTTACTATATCATAACTAATTAAATATCTTGATGGAATGCCAGGTAAAGTCCGTTTAAAATGCAGTTAAAAAATTTTATAATAGCCCAACATTGCCAGGAAATAATTTCTATTCAAAGTAGAGCGGTAAGTGAAAGTTGTGTGTTGTGCGCACCACATTTTTAATGATAGAACAAATAAGGTCTATCCGGCAGTACACTGACCTACCAATTTCAGTCTATTTTAAGTGGCTCATTTGGTCATTTAGGTAGCTAGTGCTGAGTTTGTTTGTTTATTAAATTTCAAGCAAACTAGCAAACCCCATCTTCTCAAAAAATAGAAATTTTTCTCATTATATTTAATTATATAGTTTGTAATTATTCTTGGATGTCTAATGTAGATTTGCTTCACTCATATTTAATAGCTGAAAAATTATTACCTGGAAGAAAAGTAGTGAGAATAGGCTTTTAATTGTTTTTTAAATATTGCTCAAGATACAAGTTATCTACCCTGTCATGTATTTCTACCTGCCACTTTCTTTGACGTTCCCTGTTTCAATAAACTATAGATCTGCACTCTAAAATGCTTTGGAACATTCCTACCGAAATAGGTACGGAATTGTTATGCGAAAAAAAGGTGTGATGTTGAAGGAAAAATCACTTCCTCTTCTCCTTTGAAAGCTAATGGTAAGTGTTATTTTGTCTCTATTTTTATGTTCATAAAAGATATTTTTTAATCTTTTGGAAATAAGTAGATTTAGTTTATGAACTTAAGTTTTGATCTTGAGTCAGTTCACAGGCCGATCAACGGGGGGAGAGGGGAACGAGGGAAGCTTTCAGGCTGAAGCCTTCGCCAAAAATGGTAAAATATAACCATGTTTAAAGAAAAAAATTATCTCTAAAAGTATTATTGTTCGTCTAATTACATTTAATAGAACTTAAAGAATCATTTAAACACCATTTCATGTAGGTATTTATTTTCTTTCTTTCTTCCAAAGTAATTATCCTAATATACACATACAAAAAAAAAAACTATCGGGCTGAAGCCCCCCAAAATTAAATCCTGAATCCATTAGGGAGTCAGTTTGCACATATTTTAGTGTGCATACATCAAACAGGTCATAATTATTATTATTATTGGAAACTGGAAAAATATGTTATAGCTTTAATTAATGAAACATAACATTAATAAATAAGTAATTCAACAAGTTGAAACCATTGTTAATAAATTGGTGTAATAATAATATAAAATCCCATCCATCTTATATAACTGCTAGCGACATTGTGATTGTACGAGCCTGATTGATGATTGAAAATATGAGCAGATGTAGGAAGAGAAGCATGTTATCCTGGCATGTTTTTATTGTCTGTGGTTCAAAAAGTGCACCATTTCAGAAAGTGTTAAATTGATTTTGTAAAACTGTACAAATAAATAAAAAACAAGACATGCAAAAGGCAGCTAAATAATTTTTAATCCTCTCTCTTTGCTGCTGATATTAAGAAATCTAGAAAATTCTGAGAAATAATGGTAAGTTATTACCATGCTTCTGCCTAGGAATGCTTCCTCTACACCCAACAATATCTTTCTTCCTTGAAGTCTGTAGCAAATGAGGGGATTATGAAAGAACATTCTCTTAACAAAGTCCATCAGAAGCAGCTTTGGTTATACAACCAACTTTTTCTAGAATCATGGATTTGGGATTCCAGAATTTTCTAATTTTAGTGTACATTAAAGACCCCATAACACCGTAAACAATGATTTTATATTTCATAAATACACTGCTAATTGCAGCAATGCCAAGTATAGCTGCAAAAGGTATTAAATTCCCCAAATTAATATATTTTGGGTCTGTTGTTTAAATTAAAAAAAAAAAGTTTAAATTTTTGTGTCTCTGGAAAATTCGACTCAACCAAGACAAATCACTACATATC